CTAAATAAGTGTAACCTCTAATTATATAATTCATAAACAATAATTGCCAGTTGAGCCATTTCTCAGACATATTCCAACATAATTATTTAATTTTATTAATTTATGATTATTTTCATTCGTTGTAACCACGTTTTGGTATGTTGTTGCTTGCAGTGCAGCACTCATAATATTTCATATTACTGGAAATAGAATTTGTTGGTCGCCTTCAAACAGCTGATTATGATTCGTATCTCGAATTAATTAATTAATTTTCTTTGAATATTTTATGGTATGATTCGTATCTCGAATTAATTACTTAATTTTCTTCGAATATTTTATGGCAGAAATGGATAAGATATGCTACAGATTACTTGTCAGTGCACTGTATTTAGTTTTAGAAATGTTGTTAGTTCGTGATTTTTATTTTTATTTTAACTCGATTAAATTATATTTAGTAATTTTTTTTTTACATAATGTTGTGCATAATCTTCAGTTAGATATTTCTTTGGTAAATTACAAGTAACCCCAGAGGTATACCTAAATTACGAGAATCCCCTCTTTTTTGCAAAATAGTAACAATTATCCCCTCAAATAGCTACAAAAACCTAACAGAAGGTATGAAATGTCTAAATTGCTCCTGAATAAAAAATAAATGAAAAATAAATAGAAAATAAAAATTACAAATAACCCCCTAAGATATGTTAATATTACAAAAATCCCCCTTTTATTTGAAAAAACTACATTTATCCCCTTAAACTAACAATCACTTACAAACTCTATCGAAAATTTTGAAATCAAATCAACCACTTTCTTCACCGCCCAAAATCGACACAAACATCACGACAACAAACTCCGCACATTCGATTCACCCGAAACCCGAAATTAACCTCTTATACGTTCTTCGATCGGGTTTAAGCCCCAATTCCAGCATTTCATCGTGAAATCTCATTGCTTTCCTAAATTCCTTCACACGACACAAACCACATATCATGTGCGAAAAACTCTCACCGTCGAAAATTTTGCACGCTTTCATATAATCAAACACCTTGATGGTTTCTTCAGCTCTGTTATCTCTGAACAACGCCGCAATAAATTTATTGTACGCTGCAATGTCTAAACTACCCTTCAACTCCTCTAACTTATTATGAACCACAATCGCTTTACCGATTTGCCCGCTCGAACAGTGACGTTTCACAATAGAGCCACAACACGTTGAATCGAGCAAAAACCCTTTATTCAGAACTGCATTAAAGATTTCCTCTGCTTCTCTCCATCGACCTTCGGCACACTGTTTGCTAATGTATCCGGAAAGTTCTTTCGGCTGAAAAAAGAACCCTTGTTTTGTTATATCCACTAACAAATTGGTTATCTCCCGTGATGGATTCTCTTTGCAAAGAATCACTACAAACTCACTGTAACAACTCTCACTTAGTAAAATATTCTTTTCACGAACGATTTTGTATAACTTAATCGCATCTTCTAATCTAGCTTCCTCGGATAATAATGCCATGAGCATACACTCATATGTACCGTGCTGCAGTTCAATCTTCGCCTCGTAAGCCCTTTCCGAAAAGAGATCCACAGCAAATGTTTTTCCCTCATCACAAAGTTCCTTAACGATCGAATCGTAATCACAAACGGGAGTTTCTGCAATATGCCCCTTCTCTACCATTAAAGACAGCATATTTTCAATGATTTCTCCATCTTGATGTTTACAAGCCCCGTTGAGTATCGAGCTGTAAGTACTGAAACTCGGCCCGATTTCTTTACTGCACATTCTATTTAGATAATCGAAAGCAGCTTCGAAATCCCCTCTTTTGCTATGACCATCAATAATCAAATCGAACATCTCGGGTGTAAATATTCCCACATCGAACACCTTTGAAATTCTTTCGAATTTTCCATCTTTATGTAAAATTCTAGCAATTGAAGACCACGTAAACCGATTACCCGAAACCCCATTTCGAATAATCGAAGCGTAATAGCACCAAGCTAATTTTAGCTCATTTTTGTCACCCAACAAATTGAGCAATATGTTACAAGAATCTACACTCAATCCAATCCTATAATCTTTAGCCATATGATAAACCTCCAAACTTTGCAAATACATTTGTTTGCTGCAATAACATTCGACGACGGAGTTCATTACCGGGGAAATATTCTGAAAATCAACAGCTTTGCGCGATTGAATCAATAGAGGGAAAATCTTGGCAGGTGGGTAATCTTGAACAATTGAATCTAAGATGGGTTTTCCAAGTATATAAAGCTCCGACCCTAACAGTATCCGGATAATCCGGCACCGGTCGCCGATTTCAGGATTGAAATCGAGGGTTTTCTGAGCCCAATTGAAGAAACTAAAACATATTTTGGGGTGGGTTTCGATTCTGTTCAAGATTTGGTGAAAGAGGGAAGGAGTAAAATTGGAGGAGAAATTGAGTGGCTTGAGAAGCAGAGCCCATAATTTGGAGTGTCGTTGCAGGAGAACTGTGGAGGCCTGTGAAACAAGCTGGGTTTGATTGATTCGGACCCTCCAATTTCGGGTCGGGTTTCTTCCTGAAGTAGTGAAGTAAATGGGGTTGGCCGGATCTCCGGGCCGTTGATTTCCGAGCATTTGTTGGTGATGCGGGATTGGAATATGGAAGCGGCCGGCGAAAGGGGTCAAAGTTAAAGGCGTGAAACGTAATTCTATTCTGGAACTTGTTTGTAGTAAAACCGTAATTCTATTCTGGAATCACGATTTCTAAAAAAGGATAAATTCTTCTTTGACCCCTGTATTTTCAGTCGAAGCTAAACGGACCCTAACTTACTATTAAGTACACAAATATACCCCACTTTTAAGTCTTCAATTTTGAAAATGTTGTGTATTTTCATGGATACTTATTTTACTTATATATATACATACATATATATATATATATATATATATATATATATATATATATATATATATATATATATATATATATACATTAATTCTCATTTGTTTAAGATTTCGACGACTTACTCAAAAAAAAAAAAAAAAAAGATTTCGACGACAAAAATAATATGAGTTTTTAGGAAATTATACTTAATAAATTAAAATTATCATTTTTTACGGATTTTATCCCCGTTACTTAGGAGGGTGAGGGTATAATAGAGAAAAATATAATAAACACTGTCATTATAATTCTAAAATGACAGGTGATATGTAATTAAAAAAAATGTTGGGTATAATATTAATATTACATGAAAAATAATTATCAAATCTGAAATACCAAATATCAGAACATTAATTCCTACCAATATTCCTTGTAAGTTATAAAAGAAAAATCGTAAATGAATTATCCTTTGAAAATAAATACTAATAAAAATAAATTAAAACTCCAGTTGAAGAGCTGCATGCATGGAAAAACTACACGCCACTGGAGGAGCCTTCTCCACCACCACCACCCTGATTCTGACGGCTTCCGAATATGCATTCATTCAGAAATTCCGTCAGCCCGATATATTCGTCGCTGTCCACCGCGACCTCGGCAGCTGCAGCGACTGGTGGCGGTGGGGACGGCGGATGAGCGTTTTCAACCGCACGAGCCTGGTGGCTCGTGGAGGGGCCGCCACGCTCCAGTTCTTGGGCGGCGGCTCGGTATTTGTTCAGATATAGGGTCAAGGGACCCACGTAGTTGTCGAACCCGAGTGCCGCCATGGCGGCGAGCAAGTCGTCCGCCGTGATCATTTTCCGGTACTCCCCCTGGCACCGCTCGTTTGCTTCATCGGTGATGAAGCTGATGAATTCAGTGACGCAATCCTGCATAATCTCCTTCGACTCCTCCCCGATTTTCGCGTTGGGCGGAAGGCCCCGCCGCATGATGCGCGTGATGTTGGCTAACGGAGCGTAGTGGTTGGTCACTCGCCTCGCTGGCTCCGCCGGATTATTTACGTCAGCGGCGGCGGCGTTGGGGGCTGCGGGTGCGCCGCCGCCCTCTCGGATGACTATGCCTGAGAGTTATGGAGAAGAAAACTTACAACCAGGCTGTATATATAAAGCAAAAAAGGGCAATTTGCTTTAAATTTTTGGGTGGTGAGGGGATTAGGATGACATTTATTAAGAGATTTAATGCGGTTCTTATCCTTAATCCCTTGTAATAAATTACTAATAATCTCTACACGTATTTATGTAATTTACTATTCAAAAAATAAAACAAGAAAAAATATTGTTAGCAAATTATAATATATATTAATTCTCCATTGTAATAATGCATTTGATTCTTCATCATGTGTAAATTTCTACATTAATTGTGTATATACACATATAAATTATATGTGATAGTATTTCATAATACTTAAAATCAAAAGTTTACACAAATAATAAGTTCAACGGGACTAAAAATTCAAAATTGGTCGTATAATTAAATTTATTTTACCAGCAGTGAGGCTGAAAACTCCATTAATATTTATTTCCATGTACTGGTTTTGGCTAAAAAATGATTTTTTTTAAAATAAATTTTCGGCTAATTGTATTAATTACTATGACCACGTGTAAATTAAATAGTGTTGGGTCACGTTTTGTGACCATCTTCTATTTCCTTCATCATGTACAAAGAGTCAAGTAGTAATTAATTGCGAACAAAATATGTAAAAAGGAAAATAAACTTTAACCAGTTTAAAAAAAATAAAAAAAATTTACAGGGATATATGAAGATTTATAAAAAAATAAAAAATAAAAAAAAAGAATTGGATCGAAGTTGAAAAACCAAAAAAATGAGATCTAAGGTAATGTGAAAAAGAAAAAAAAAAAGAAAAAAAAATGAATATTAATGATTAATTTAAGTATGTGAGCAAAACTAAAAACAATTAACGCGTGTCGTGTAACGGTGAAAAAATAAAATAGAAAGTATCGTAGATCAATTAGTTACGTGTCGAACGTGATCTAAATCGCAATAGAATGACGCGCGGAAGCGACAAAATAAATCTTTTCATTCAAATTTACGCGCCACTCGTATTTAAATTTAAAAACAGTATTATGGAAATGAAATGTTACCATTTTGTTTTTCAATTTAACATGCCAAACATCAAAGATCCAAAAAGTAAAAATCAATTTTGAATGCATCTTAATAAAGAGATACATATATGAGAGAAATACAATGGTATGAAAAAAAACTTTTGTGCAACTTTTACCAGATGTGGTCGCCCTTGTGGTGTTTTTCTCGGGTTGGTTTGAGCTTCGTCCTCCATTTTCCATCTTAAACTTTTACTTCTGAAAAACGATATGTATATATTTTTTAATTTTTTTTTCTCACAAAAATGGCACACTATTTTGCTCACAAAAGTGTGTGTGTGTGTGTGTGTGTGTGTGTGTGTTTTACTCTTGTTTATGATTTGTGAAAGTATCAAGAGAATTGTAGTGAATATATATAGAGAAGTGAAGGTTAAGAAATGAGTCCACAGGGGCAAAATGGATAATTATTAAAAATGTTGTCCCCAAAAATATTTGTGAATTAGGGCAAACGTGTAAGTTGGTGGGAAGCGTCGATTACTGTAATAAAGTGGGATGTTTTACTTTTTATTTTTTTCCAATAAGTAATTTTATTCCTTTTGGTAAGTAGAAAAAAATTGTTGTAATTATAATTTATAAATAAGGGACCATCTAGTTGCAAAAATACATCATTTGATTTAGTTAGTAAAAATAGTTGGATTGCTTATATTTTTTGATTACGTAAATTTTTAATGGGTATTACCATAAATTTTATTGATGAAAAAAAATGATATATTTATTATTTAGTGAAGAAGATATTCTGCTAAATATTGTGAGATAACCACAATTTAGTAGGCTAATTGTTTAAACTCTATAAATTAATACAAAATATTATTAATTTAGCAAAAAATAAATTATCAAACTAATAATTTAGTACGTTTTTATCGAGTCATGACCGGAAAAATTATTATTTAAACGGGGTTATTAATTTATCGAGATTTTAACGTAGCTAGTAAATATAGTCACTGTAGGTACATTCATATTTGTTTTTTTGACATGCGTGATTTGTATTGTTTTAATTCTCTAACATGTACATATATCTAATTATTGAAATGTGCACCTTCTAGTTATGCTAATACTCGAAATCTTGACAAAAGCTATCTTTGACTCATGCACAATATATGAATTTCTTAATTATAATTTATTAAATCAAGAAATATAAGATATATGTATTTCTTAATTATTAAGACAGGTAGCTCATTGTTTTTCAAATGCGAACTATTTAAATTGTATAATTGGATGTTTACCACTTACAACTAATTGCGCATTCATTTACTTGCAAAGATGACATAATTGATTTTTAATTCTGAAATATAATCACAAATTTCACTTTGGCTCTAATTTATCTACAATTTGTAAAGTGGAATAAAAAGAAGGGTACATTACGACCAATCCCTTAAGGTAAGGCCAAATTACGAATTTCATCAATGTTTGAATAATTACATCTCGCGGTATACTACGTATTAACTTATAAGTCCACTTTTACATTGTCAAATTGACCTATTAAATGAGAGTTGCTTTGCAATAAAATACATAGTTGATGGTAAATTTGTAATTATCCAAACAAAAAGGATTGTTTCGTAATTTAGTCTTATCTCAAGGAGGTGTTTGTAATTTGCCTAAAAAAGAATTTAGCCCAAGGGTGACCACGTTTGTTCTGCATGCCAACATTTTTTAGCCCAGAAGTTAGCCCAACAACACAAGCCCACCAGCTTGTATTTTCATGAATTATATTACCATCTTCTTCATAAATACTTGTATTTCTAGTTCTATTGTGCAATTCCTATAATAAGTTGGAGCAAAGTATTAGATTAATTAAATTATTTATTAAAGAACGAATTCATTCTTAAGAAGATGGAGAAGCATGTATTATTTTATTTTTTCCTTTTTTTTTCCTATCATTATTTTATTAAAAAATAAAAACCCTAAATTTATTACCATGGTAATAAATTTATAAAAAGAAAAATCTATAAGAGTACTAATTAATTAAAGAAGATAATAGCATTTGAAGCCAAACACCATCTCCACATATCTACAACCATATGCATATTTTTATTCTTTTATACCAATCTCTCAAATATAACAGAATTGAATCATCTTTACATTTCTATTTATTTATCAAGCAATATATATAGTTTCACTAGTCGTCCCCCCAATTTAATTAAGCATCTACGGACACATCGGAATCCGCGGAGGCGAGGATAAATTCCGGCTGAGCAGTTTCTACTCCGCCGGCGTAAGAAACATCTAGAGCATTCGGCAGCCCCAATGCCCTCAATGCCAAATGCGCCGCTTTCTGCCCCGAAATCATCATCGCTCCAAATGTTGGCCCCTGTTATAATTTCATCAAAACAAAAACAAAAAAATTAATTACTTCAATTTTGAACCAGATTAATTAATTAATTATAAATGGATTTATTTATTTGAATACCATTCTTGGTGAACCGTCGATTTCAGCAACTTCCATGCCTGTGACAATCATTCCAGGCACAATCTCCCTGGTGAGCCTAACAATGGCGTCCTCGGCGGTGTTCATGTCGAGGGCCTTCATTCCGGGGACGCTCTCGATCATTCCGATGCTCCTCAGCCGCTTCACTCCGGTGGCGCCGAATGGCCCGTCGTGGCCGCACGAGCTCACCACTATTTTCGCTTCCATCACGTTCGGGTCCATGCACGACTGCGTGTGGTGGTTCTGCGCGACCAGGGCCCAGTTCGTGACAACGCCGGCGACCCTCCCTCCCTTGACGATCAGATCCTCGGCGGCGACGGCGTTGAACAGCTTCACGTTCGGCTTGGCCAGGAGCTTGCTCATGATCGTCGAGGTGAACAGGGCGGCGTGCTTGATCACCACGTAGTGGTCCTGCTCGTCGTACTCGATTTCCAGCTCGTCGAGAAACTTGTGGGCGGGTTTGCGGACGACCATGGCGGAGAACAGCTGGCCGCCGAGCCACGCGCCGCCGCCGGGGCTGACGGACTGCTCGATGATGGCGATGTTGATGTCGGGGTTCTTGCTGAGCTCGTAGGCGCAGGAGAGGCCGGCGGATCCGGCGCCGACGACGACCACGTCGGTGTCGGCGTAGGTTATCATGTCGGTCATGTATCGCCTGGTCATTTCGCGGGCGACGATGGATTCTTTAATCGACGATGGATTGAGAGGTTTGACTGGGGGCCGGATTTGATGGGATGGGCGGCGGCGCGTGTGGACACGGGGGAGCCATGGAAGGAGGATTTGTTGGTGTCGAAGAATTGGGTTTTGGAGAGGGAGGAGGAGGTGAGGGTTGTAGCCATGGCTGCCATTTAATTAATTAATGCGAAATAAATGTGTATATATATGTATATTAAAAAAGAAAGTAGTTGGAAATATGTGTACGAGTACTGTTGATGAAGAAGAGTGTATATACATTATATATATATATGTGAGGAGAAAAAGAGAAAGTGGGGTTTAATTTCACAACTTTAAGCGCGAGGAAGATAGAATTTGAATGATTGATAATACTTGTGGTTTTGATTGATAATATATGGAGCAATGGTTTCTTAAGGTGGTGATAGGGTTGTGTATTTCAATTTATATATTTTAACAAATATATAAATATATATATATATATATATATATAAATAAAAAATAAATAAAATTAAAAAATAAAAAATATATAAAAAAAAATTAAAAAAATAAAAAATAAATAAAAATAAAAATAAAAAGTAAATAAAAAAATAAAAATAAAAAGGAAAAAATAAAAAGAGAAATTGACAGCTATGGGATTTGAACCCACGCCCTTTCGGACCAGAGCCTAAACCTGGCGCCTTAGACCACTCGGCCAAACTGTCTTTGTTGAAATAAAATTCATTGTTATTATATATATATATTAATTTACTATTAATCAACTAGAAAATCAGTAAATTTTGGTTACACCCACCGACACCTTTGGCACGTGATTTTCAGCTGTATGCCATGTGAAGTTTTACAAGATAATTTAATCCATAATCTCCCAAGTCCCAACTAATATAAAATATATATGCCAAAACAAATTGAAAAAAAATGTTAAAACATTGATTGCCACTCTATTCAAAATTAACTTCCAAAGAAGTATATTATTTAATCCACCCCCTTTCTAGCTACGATTCCAACAAAGCCAGTGAACACTCGGTACTAGAGGAGTAGCACAATAAAGTTATATTCCCTCAAGAACAAGACACAACTCCAAACATAGTTATGTGACTATGTTAAAGACATTACTACATATTTTCTTGAATTGTAGACCCGAATAATAATGTAATTTTTCATGTTTTCTTATCTTTTTGGTTAATGTAACTGACAATGGCATGTTTGGTGGATCCCTTTCCTCCAGCATCTCTTCTCCCAACCAATACTTCCACTATACTTTTATGGCTAATAACCTCTAAAGCACAACACCCAAAAAATTCACACAAATATAAAAATATAGTGACAGCATCCAAACAAGAAAGTCAAAAGATAATTACTACATGCCCCAAATTAATTAAATCCCTTAATCTAAGCTATTGACCATACTAATCTTATTCTAAAGTTGGCTTCTTTTTTTTTTTTTTTTTTTTTAATTGCAAGAACTTTACTGCAAAGTGAACATTTAAACTACCGGTGTAGATCTAGTGTGTCTGTGTCCACCAATTCCAGTTGTCAAATACCAAGAAACTTTTTTTTTTTTTTTTTTTCTGATTAAATATAAGACCAAATCAAATGTGGTCACGTTCTTTCATGCGACATGTTGGACCCATCCTTAATTTTTATATTCCTGCAACAATTGAAATAGCAGCCTGGAATTTCCACTCAAATCACCAATCACACACACACACTAACTAACAGTTTCTTAATTATAAGTTCCACTTGTTAAACTGACACTTGAAAAGAAACTAGCAAGAACTTAGAGTGTGTGAGAGAGAGAGAGCAATTAATATAAAGCTTGTTTTTCTTTTTTTTCCTTAGAAAAAAATGGAGAAAAGGGCAAATCTCTTTGTTTGTGTTTTACTCACAACTTTAGTTCTAGCTGTACTTATTACATGTTCAAAGGCAGGGGAATTAAAAGGTACATTTGATGATAATTTCAGCAAAAGCTGCCCGGAAACCCATTTCAAAACATCCGAAGATGGCCAGATTTGGTACCTCTCTCTCGACAAGCAAGCCGGATGCGGGTTTATGACAAGACAGAGATACCGATACGGGTGGTTTAGCATGAAACTCAAACTCGTCGGCGGAGATTCCGCCGGAGTTGTCACCGCTTATTACGTAAGTCTTGATATTCAATTCATATGGCTCCAAATCAGATGTTCCCGTATATGTAATAAAAATGCAATCTTTTTCACTTGAAATGTGTAGATGTGTTCGGAGAATGCGGCGGGGCCAGAGAGGGACGAGCTCGACATCGAGTTCTTGGGTAACAGAACAGGGCAGCCTTACCTCCTACAAACAAACATCTACAAGAACGGAACCGGTAACCGTGAAATGAGACACGTGTTATGGTTCGACCCGACCGAGGATTTCCACACCTACTCCATTCTTTGGAACACTCATCAAATAGTGTAATGATTTCTCGCCCTCGAAATAGTGTATCAATTTCGTCTAAGCTAATTAATTATTTATAATTTTTTTTTTTTTTTTAAGGTTCTTTGTGGATCAAGTGCCGATTAGGGTATTCAAGAACGCAAACTACACGAACAATTTCTTCCCGAGTGAGAAACCGATGTACTTGTTCTCGAGCATATGGAACGCCGACGACTGGGCGACGAGGGGCGGGGTGGAGAAGACGGACTGGAAAAAGGCTCCGTTTGTATCGTCGTACAAAGAGTTCAACGTGGACGCGTGTCAGTGGGAGGATCCGTACCCGGCGTGCGTGGCGACGACGGCAGATAACTGGTGGGACCAGTACAAGGCGTGGCACTTGTCGGAAGATCAGAAGCTGGATTATGCTTGGGTGCAGAGGAACCTTGTTATTTATGATTATTGCAAAGATACTCAGAGGTTTCCTAAGTTGCCTGAGGAGTGTTGGCTCAGCCCATGGGCTTGAATGTAATTACTTATTAGTAGTCTTTAATTACTATTGCATATGAGATCTATATTTCTTTACTATTGATGCATTCCTTGATTATTTATTGAAATTATGTACACCCCATTTATAGATTGTTTCAGTTCCATTGCAATGTCGTGGAAATTTTACGCCTAAAACGGACATTTGAAAAAAAAATGTAAAATAACTTGCAAATTCTTAAAATATATTACTAAGACGAGTAAAGTAGTACGATAATCTGCTAAATATTGTTATTATCATAGCAGGAATAAAGTTATAAGTTGTTATTATTATGTAAACATATGTTTGTCACTCAAATCTAAATGTGTTTATTTTTTGTTACAAAATATTAGAAATTATGATATTTTCCTTTCGCCGTACATATGGCTAAGCTCATTTACATGGGATAATCACACTTTTGGTCCATATACTTGCCACCTAAAATGATTTTAGTACTCAAACTTTTAAGTTCATGGAATTAGTCCTCAATCTTACCTCATTTTGAGGGCTAAATTCGTGAATTTAAAAATTTGAGGACTAAAATTATTTTAGATGATAAGTATAGGGGCCAAAAGTGTAATTAAGCATTTACACCAAATACTTGGGCTGGTGACCACATAGTTTGTTTTTGTTAATATAAGAGCCCAATTATTAATCCTACAAAAGTGGGAGATGTAATTAGAAGCCCAGCCCAATTTGATTTATAATTTAATTTTATTTCCACATCGTTATTAATTTTTATTTATTATTAAAAAAAAAAAGGGTAAAGATAAAACCGTCTCATGAAGGGTACATTAGTCTATTCGCATTCATGTTCTCCAGCAATCAGTAGGAAATCAGGCAACAATAGAAATATCCGCTTAAAAAAAAAAAAGTAAAAATCCATCGCTAGTTCCTGAGATTGGAGGTTCCTTTTCTCGTCAATCGGAAAAAATTACAGCTGCACAATGGTTTGCGAAAAGTGTAAGATCCAATCTACGTGATCCGAATTGAAGTATTTTGTGATGGATAATTGTGAATTATGTAGTTAGGGTTTTTGTAAATAATTTTGATGTTAATTTACAGGTGAGAAGAAGCTTGCGAAGGTGATAGTGCCGGACAAGTGGAAGGATGGGGCCCACAACACCACCGAAGGCGGTGGCCGTAAGATCAACGAGAACAAACTCCTCTCCAAGAAAAATAGGTCCGTAAATCTCCCCCTTTTTCTCTGCTTGTAATTATACTGAGGGAGAAAGAACCTTCTTTTTCCTTTTATCATTTATTGAATAATTAATTATTTATAGGTTTGAGGTTCATAATCATGCATGTAGATTGCGAGATGCAAACTTAGTTTTATGAGGTGCAAAATTGAAATTACAAGTATTTTGTTGTTTTTCTTCCCTTTTGGGCAATTGATTTGATCTTTAATTTGGGCATTTGGGCCAATTTTGTTTACATGTCTGTGAATGTTTATGTTGTTTGTTGTTGTTTATGCCCTAGGAAAGAAATTGGGATAGCTTGAATTTTCCGTAAATTCGTAGCTGCAGTTGTTTCTATTATTAGTTTTTCACTTTGTCCATTGCTTCGATACTAGACCGACTCTTTGTAGAAAGCTCGTATTTTATTTTATATTATGATTTCCCTTCTGTTTGGTTTTTCATACAGACGTTTTTTTTTTTTTTTTTTTGTATTTCTTATCCATTTATGCTGTAAATAATATGATTGGGTTTCCGGGTGTCCCCTAGTGGGTATTTTAGTGTCGAATTCCCGAGTGGTTTCTCTTAGTAATTTCTTTATTTGTGAATGATGTTCTTGTTATAAATTTGATATGTGCTATGCCTTGTATCTAATAAGTAATTTGAAATCGGTTGCTTTGCAGATGGAAACCTTACGGACAAACCAAATGTATAATCTGTAAGCAGCAAGTACATCAAGATGGCAAATACTGCCATACATGTGCTTACAGTAAAGGTAGTTTCTTTTTTTTTCGTGTTTTTTTTCGTTCCGTTTTGATGTAATGTTTTGATGAACGAAAGCATTATTGCCGAGTTTTCTGATGTACTTTTGTGAATGCAGGAGTTTGTGCAATGTGCGGGAAGCAAGTACTCGACACCGAGTTCTACAAACAGAGCAATGTATGACAGATTTGATTCCTTCAGACAAACCTCGGAAAAGCTCTCCTAGTTGATGTCATCCTTAATTTGTATCTTAAACTGCATGTAACAAGAATGCTCTTATGCTCAGTAGACGAAATTTTATACAGTTATTTGCTCACCAAGATTTATCCGGCAGTTATCGTGCTGTGAAATGTATTACACTTACGTTGTACAGACGAACACAGCTGTTTGGTCTGTGCTGGGACCAGGCCACTTGAAAGAAACTCGATATTATGTCGATTTTGATTTGCTGACCTTTCTAAATTTATATAGTATGCGCCGTCTGTTTCAAAAACATGTCAAGAGTGTGCATATCTCATTTCATTAAATAAAACTTTTTGACTTGTAAACGCCGTGTCGGTCTGGCATGGAAATAAATATGTGTACAGAAATCATCTTATTTTCTCGTCCTCTTATTTCTTTCTTGCACATTAAATACCAGTTTTGCATGGGAATTATTTTCAACCATAGTTTCTCGAATTATATTACATTATAACTTGATCAACGAGCAGCATAACACTTCGATTTTACGAATCGGTAACAAATCACGGGCTATAAATAACATTATTCCGACTGATATCACTGATCTTAGTTACAGACATACTAATAATACTAGAATACATCCTTAGGCAGCAGATGTTTGAAATACTACAGTTCTAACGGTAGATACATATGTTTTATTTCCGAAAAGCAGAGGTGGGATATCGTCGCGATATCCAGTATTTCTTGATTTGGTCAGCATTTCTTCCCGGAATTCTTCCAGCAATTAAAGACCATCTGTTATGCAAAAATATATACGACTTAAACTTAAAATTCAAAGAAAGAAACGAGAACTGTGTGAAGAAGGTGATCGATTATATTAATTACCTGTCCCCGACGAGCTTATACATCCTAATTATCAGCGATTCCTCGTCTTCCGAGAACTCGATTTCAACCTCGGATTCTTTCCTGTTTACTTCTGCAACTCAAAATATGTTATGAAACAGATTTAAGAAATAGCAAGTTATAGCAAAAATAGAAAGTTAGTTATTTATTACCTTGAGAAGTGGAAAAATAATCATCTGAAGAAGAGTTTTCTGAGCTGGCCATTTTAAGGACTATTTTCTCACACCACCAGTTTTCACACACTTGTTTAGTATTATTACAAACTGCAGAGACTACACTATTATATATAGATAGGGTGCCGACAAATTGCCCAATTAATTTTATTTTTTATTTTAATTTTTTACTTTATTTTACACTGCAGGATTATCTATTTGGCTGTCATTTTTACTAGCGATTGGTACTGAATTTAATTGGTCAGTGGGGCAAATCAAAGTTGTCCTTTTAAATGCAAAAATAAGTCACATTCTCACAATATTAATTTTATTTATTTATTTATTTTTATTTAGATAAGCCACATCCACATGCATCTCCCAATTAATTCTTACTAATTTTAAGAAACTTTAAACGTGACACGTAAACTATATATAAGTACTACATTAGCTTTGATATCTGGAGGGACCATTGATTGAAATACAAAAAAGGACAGTTAAAAAAAATGACTTGATACAACAACTACCTTAGCTTATCCTTGTGAATTATGACGTGTCACTTTATTACTGGTTTGGTTGTAATGAAATGCACGGCATTTAATTAATTTTTTTTCAAATGAAAAATCACATCATGTGTGATTGTTAATTTTGTTCTGATCACAAGTTTAACAGAAATTCAAACATATCTCAACTATTTTCTTAAACCACCATAAAAATGTATTTTTACAGCACTAAGCACACATATATATACGGACGCGAAATACACGATACACAAAAACGTAAGCACGCTCTTAAATAAAATTTATATATAAAGAAAAGGAAAAATATTAACATTTTCGGAAAATCTTGAGCAACGCAAGTACCGAGGCAGAGTGTCGATGATAATTTAGAAACCGTGAATCTTGATGTGGTCTTTCTTCACAATACCTGCCTGAACGAGAAATGTCGAAACATTCTTCCTCTGATCACCTTGGAGTTGTATAACCTATATAATGAAACGAGCTAGGTCGTTACTAATTATATATAAACATAGAACGAAAATCGGAATTTCGAGAAGTGTAGAATGCTGACCTGGCCAAGCTCGGAGTCCTGAACAACAGTACCATTACAGCAAAACTCTTTCTTAAGGTCTTTGAGAATTTTAGTGTAGCTGAACTCTTTCTTCAAACCTTGTACGGTTGTCAGGCTTTTCCGACCATTACGCTGCTGTATGCGTATATGTACATATTCTTTTGAACCGACACCCGAGTCTTCTGCTTTTGCCTCGGCAAAAGGATCTGTTGTTACAACCAAGATAAATTGCGAAAAATTTAAGTGCTTATTTTTTTTTGAATAAAAATGGGATACGTCGATCGATTCACTAGGCTTACCGAAGGGGCTAGGGATTTGAGTGTCAAGATCAGACATGAAAATTGGCTGTGTGAGTTTGACGAAAGTAACCAAGACTGCGAACGAAGAAAAACAGAATCTGCTTACTGATTTAACAATTATCGATCATGATTAATACTAATAATGAAATAGCGTACGTTACATATGCGCCAATTCAAACCAATGTACAGAACCAACAATAAATTAAAAAAAAAAAAAAAAATCAACCCTGACAGTGCACATTCATTGAATTTGTTATACAAACATCCACAATAAATTTAAAAAAAAAAAAAAAAAAAATTGGTTCGATTTTTGTAAGGGACAAAAGATTAGTTACATTGTGGAAAGGCATGCACATAATCACCAATTTCCAGAGACAAATATTGATCATGTTCGTCAAACGTAATGTTGTAAAAACAAAAGGGAATAACAAGAAAAAGTTTTCACCTTCGATACCATGCTTAAAAAAATCAAGAAACCTAGACTAATCAAAATTTCACGAAGAATTAATCGGTCAATTCTCAAAGAAAAAAAAAAAAAAAAAAAAACCGTTCGGAGAATTATGGAGATCGTCAACGCATAGCTATAATTAGTATAAACAAATGCTGAAAATGTACATAAAAGAAAAGGGGAAAGTAGATTGATTGAAGAATACCTGATGAGATGGAGAAATGGTAAAATTTCTTCGAGAAAATAATCGAAGGCAGAAAAACTGAAGAGAGAAATAAGTTTGAGGAATGATGAATGAGGGTGTTTATATTAAGAGCACCAACCACACACCAAAATTTGTTCGTCTCTTATAATCTTTCGATTATCGATTGGTTGATTGCAATGCTCTCTTTCTTACATATATCTATGGAAATTAGAGTCTTGGTTTTAAATATAACTACTTTTAACTATAACTTCTATTTTTCTTTTAACTTATTATTTATCTTTCGACCATATATCACATTTTTCCCCCTATTTTTTCTCATTAAACATTCCACTTTTATGTATGATATGTCTAATTGGCTCAACCCAATGGGCATACAAATTATTTATTTACTGGGCCACGAGCCCAATATCGAAGACCACTATCACCAAGGCTGAATCACCTTCAAGCAAGGTTTGGGCCCGACAATCTCAACTAAGCTATAAATACACATTTGAACTCATTCCATAAGGTACGTCCTATTAACTGAGCAATACTACAATACGTATTCTCTGGACTATTTCTACTATCGGCACGTCTGACTTGAGCGTCGGAGGGGTTTCCGCCGGATCAACCCCCGGCTTAGTTCATGTGTTCTATGATCGCAGGATCATCAAGTTGTCAAGCTACTGATCTGCTTTGCTCTCCCAGTTCATTTTCTACACTACCCCAGGTGATCTAAATAATTAGCATCATCAATGTATTTTCGAACCTTGGAATTAGGAATTTGGCCTAAAATATTCAAATAACTCCATATATATTTCTATTTTATTTTTTAATACTCCCGAAAAAAGCTAAAAAAAATTGCAAATAAATTGATCATTCAAGCAAAGTTCAATCAATTTATTATTATGAATATATAACATGTATATATAAGTGGAACAAAAAACATATCATAAAAATATATATCACCTGCTATTATTAAAAAAAAAAAAAAAAAAATGAAAAAACAACAACCACCCCGCACACACATAATAATAAGAATTATGTAATTAATGATGAAATGATGATAATTAATTAATTAATTAATTAAATCCGGCCGCCAGGAAGCCTCAAGACGAGGTGAAGATTAGACTCCTTGTGTATGTCATAATCTGCAACACTTTTTTCATCGCCTAATTCTTTCCCTGAAAATATCAATCTCTGATATTCCGGCGAGATTCCCTCCTTATCATATATCTTCTCCTTCACGGTATATATCGTATCCGACCTCTTAACGTCCAGTGTTATCGTCTTCCCCGTCAGCGTTATCACGAATATCTGCATCCCGCCGCCGCCGCCGCCGCTCTCAACGGGCGCGGGGAGGCGCTCAGTGCTAACCTCCGGCTGTTTTCTGGCGAGCGGCTGAATTTTTTCTTCTTCCATTTTGGCCTTCCCTTTGCCTGACGATTCGACTTCGACGTTGGCTTTGCCCAGGGAGAGGGTTCTCCAGGTGCTTGGATTCAATATTCTGAAATTTGTCGCCGGCGGCGGGTGTGCGGCGGGAGTCGTGGAGCTTTTCCCGGCGAAGATGAGCCGGCGGTGGTCAACGGGAATGCCTTCTTTGTGTTGGATTTTGGATTTAACGTTGTCGGAGCTTTCAACCTCCATGGTGATGGTTTCTCCGGCGAGAGTCTCAACGGAAATATTCATTGTGCGCAGCAATTAATGGCAGGAATGTAATTAGCAGCAGATCGTTGATACGTACAGATCTCAAATGAAGAAGATAAAGTTTATATATAAGTCAATTAATAGACAAGTCTTTGTAAATTCAGCACTAGAGAATTATTAGAGACTATTTCCTGATTCATGCTGGTGTACACGTCGTTCATTTACCAAGCTCTGTACTGAATTGGTAAATCATGTCTTCATGCTTATAAACAATATATAAGTCAACTAAATTAAAAAAAAAAAATCATTTTACTAAATTAAAATGTAATTAGAGTTTTCAAACAACTCTGTTAAATTTTTGGGTAAATTACGGCCTCTCATGAGTTAATTTCAAATTACGGAAAAATCCTTCTTATTTTGGTAATTACGACTATCTCCTCAACTAAGAATCTTCTTAAATGTTCACCTTTAATTTTGTGCAAAAATACAGTTTTCGATGCACCACAATCTGATATTTACAAGCCAAGAGACACATATTATGATCATCTTGTTCCAAAATGTAGAGCTCGAATAGAGTAAATCTAGTAGAAAGTGGAGAATATTCCACTAAATTTGATACCACAAGTGTGAACGTGTAAGAAGATTGATAGTTGAGGGATGGTTGTAATTTAAATTGATTTAACTCAAGCAAGTTCAATCAATTTATTATTATGATTAAAATAACATATGTGGAAAAAAAACACATCACATAAACAACCGAAAATTTCATTTGACAAAGCAAACGCAAAGAGGCGGTGTGGGTCCCACATACACGCACAATTACACGTGTATATTTATTCACACGTGAGAACCCAACCCTCACACACAAATCGATTAATCATCCATCACATTATAATTAATAATAAGAAATGTATGTAATTAACCATGAATTTGATGATAATTAATTAATTAATGAGTTGAATAAGATCAGGCGCCAGGGTGCCTCGTAACGAGATGAAGATAAGAGTCCTTTTGTATGTTATAATCTGCAACGGTCTTATAATCTTCCAGCTGTTTCCCTCCAAATATCAGTCTCTGATATTTCGGCGAGATTCCCACCTTATTATAAATCTTCTTCTTCACGTCAAAGATTCTCTCCGAGCTCTTAACATCCACTGTTATCGCCCTCCCCGCCAATGTCATCACGAATATCTGCATTCCGCCGCCGCCCTCCTCAATTACGACCGTGGGGCGACGACGACCGACCTCCGCCTGATTTTTTTCATCTTCTACTCTGGCCTTCACTATGCCGCCGGAATACTCGACTTCGACGGGGCCCGGGGAGATGGCCGAGGCCGGCGGCGAGGGTGCGGCGACCGTCTTCGTCTTGGAGCTGTTCCCGGCGAAGATGAGTCGGTGGTGGTCAACAGGAATGCCTTCTTTGACTTGGATTTTGGATTTAACGTTGTCGATGGTGTCGGAGCTTTCCACCTCGACAGTGATGGTTTCGCCGGTGAGAGACTCAACATAAATATTCATTCTGCGTACGAAAAATAACAAAATATATATATATATATATATATATATATATTAATATACGTGCTCAGAATAGCAGAAGCACTGATTATTTTCGATACAAAAATGGAAAAAAAATATGAAAAATCAAAAAAGAATCAATGAAAGAGTACCTTTTGGTTTGAAGATTTGTTCAGAATTGTACTGTCTGAGTTAAAAGGCGTGGGATACAGAATGTGTGTAATATTGATGAAGAAGCTTAATTGGCCATGGCAGATAATAAAATTAAAATAATAAAGTTGACTATATAATTGATTAAGGAACAACACAGGTACAAACGAGGAAATAACACCAGTTATTCATTCCCATTGAATTTGCTTATGAAAGGGAAATCTTGTACCTACTTAATATTGTTTTTACAATAAATTAATATATAAACAACTAGAATTAATTAATTAATTTAACGATCCATTTGCGGGCCCACTGAACATTTTGTTGAACAAAATTTCGTAAAATTTAGGCCCGATAATGAGTTTGCGGGCCTAGTGAAACTACTTTATTTTTATAAAATAGAAAAGCTATCCCGGGCCCATTTGGCTCTTCCCATGTGGAGTGGGACACAGAAATGAATATCCTCTCGTTATTCCAAAAGCCACGTGAATCAAATTGATGTCATATCAGTTATCACACGTGAATGAATAAGTCAATGTCAACAGGTAGAAAACATAATATAATCAGATATATAAGGACTAAATAGCAATTGAAAAGAAGGAATATTCCAGTGAAGCTGTTATGCGTTTCAACAGAGTCAACTCAAACAGTCAACATAAATTAGCTCAACAAGAAAAAAAGAAAAAAAAAAAAAAAAGGAAATCAGAAATCTTGACTGGAATAGAGCTTCACCTGCCTGGGCCAAACTTGACCGTACACATCCTTCTCCGTGTACGTTCGATCCCAGCACCACGGTACATCTGTAATACATTTTATTTTTCGGTTATATCTAACTAACTTTTCGAGTGATATATTATTATTAAATAAGGGCAGTGCAAAAACCTGTCGAGGAGTACAGTCTTGGAGGAAGTTCGTAAGGCACGGGCAATCGAATAACTTGGTCATTTTCGTCGTTTCCCTTTTCATTCCAAGCCAATGTGACCAGTTTCACTTGGGAATTTCTTACACATGTCGATTTATTATTATCCTGAAATAAAAATAAGAAATAAACAGCTCAATGTTTCGAACAAGACAGTTTATTTTTCTTGACATATAAATATATAATACCTCGGAGATATCTGTACAAGAAAAGCCACATCCATCTTTCTTGGAGATGGGCAGAAACAGAACTCCTAGCTTTGATGATGATTGACAAAATACAATAAACCGCGTCAGTATATATTTCACATCCAACGAGCTTATTACGTAACTAGGCATTTCAGTAATACAATCTTCGGTGAGAAATATACATAATATAATACCTCATATGAACGGATCATTAACTGAGAATTGTTTTTCTGAAGAGCTCCCCAGGCAGCTTTGCTCAGGTTTGACGAAGTAAGCAGCAGCCATCTGTTCAATACAACAACAGCAAATTAGTTTTGACCAGTCAAAATCAAGATTGATGCCAGGCTGGCAGAAAAGCAACAATTTATAAACACGACACGTTGCTCGAATTCATTCTTACGCGAGGTTCTGCCCATTGTAACGTGTGAATGTCTTTATATGAGGCATTGCGCGACTGCAAAAATAAAAAGTAAATATATTTTACGTACAAATCCCGTTGGATAAACACATACATATACATACCAGCGGCCTGTGTGGCTTGCTTTCCATTTAGCCCAATACTTCTTCAAGAACTCTTTCTCCACATTCTTTAGTGGACTCGGAACAGCATTCCCAGCTGCATAACCCTTCGCAAGAAAAAAAGGGATTATTTTCCATCTGATCTTGGATTTATCAGAAGAAAATTAAGAAAAACATTTGATTCTTAAGTATAAAACTATTTCACGACCCTCGGTTTATTACAATCAAGAAATTCTCGTTTTTAGTAGTATCAAATGTAATAAGATTTGTTTGCAATTACCTCTAATGAAGATCTAACATCTTCGACTGATGGCCATACTATCAAGGGCTTCCCCATACCCAAAGGCTTTTTGTCTTGTGTAATTCCTGCCGACATTGAAGTTGCCAACTCAGTCACCCACTTCTCATCCACCGAACCTAGCGAAGAAAACTGCAGTATAGTGATACAAATGATTTATTGTCGTGCATTCAAAACCTCGACAAGTTTTCTATATAATTCAATGTGTAAAAATAAAACCGTAAACTTGAACGTAATATGATAAGTACCTGGTAAATAAGAGGAGACTTCTCAAACTGCTTCTCAAAGGTACACTCTTGCAGTACTGTACGTAACTTCATATGTCCCCATTTCCTTAAACTGGAACCCGAATGATATCCGGGAACAGATGCAATAAGCCTGACCTGGACATGCAAATTATGTTCAGAGTTCCGTTTTACGTATATAAATAAGACAATTAAACTTTAGAAGAGAGTCGTCAATGGCTCAAAGTGTAAGAGATACAAACTACAAGTTGTAATCGTCGAATTTGTCAATTACCATGGCAGAGCTGTAATTGAATTTCCTGAAGAATTGTGGGTTTATACTGAAGTTGCCGATACCAGGTAAATTAGCATTGAATTCAGGCAACTGCATGTAAGAGAAAATTAGAATGAATTAACACAAACAAATATAAGGACATAAGTCCCTTTGTACCAAACTATTGGCAAGTTTAGGCTTCTAAAAGCAGCCAAACCATATACTTCACAAACTTGAGTCGCAAGTAATTCAATTTTCTATCATAGGATGATTATATGCATGCATTATTACCCAACAATTTGCATCTAATGGGAGCTATTGAATGGCAATGCAGATAGTAATACCTTGAGTGCGCCCAGATAATCGATCAGGTCATTTTCAAATCCACATGCACTAGGACCACTACTTTTACTGCTTTGATCTTTCCATGGGAAATCTTGCATCCATAAACCCTGAGTTTTGTTGTTCCAGTCAACATATATCAAGTTTGCTGTATGAACAATGACTCGCACTCCTCGAGGATAGACAAGAAGCATGGCTTTCGAATGGTGTGTCCCGTACGAAATGGGCAATGGAGGTTTGTGGAGAATCCAGTTCGAAGGCTTGTTTCTCTAAGAAGAAATCAGCAGATGAAAAATTGAGAACACATCCAAGAAATTTCAATGTCAAGATTTTATGACGAGAAAATAGAAATTGGTCAACCTTCATATACTCGAGGGTACCGTCACCTTCCCCGTGGACAACTAGGACATGAGGGACCCTTTTAATCATCGGACACGCTGAAACGAGCTAGTCTTACTAAATCAATGAAGTTCACAGACGATAAATAATAAATATGAAATTAATTGCAATCAGATACAAGGCTCTATAGAAGAAAAACCTACCAGAAAGTAGCCAATCAACGTCGACCATGTAATTTGATAGGACCGCTAATAGCACATTTCCCTACAAAACAAAAACATAAGCACACATCAACATACTGATGAAAACAGGACAAATAAGATCCACTCAAGCAAGAAAAACTCTTACCTGAACCACATCACCAATAGAAACAGCATTCGTATTTGCCCACTCCGGCAATTCTTTCACTCGCAATAGTCTAAAAGTTGAAGGCAAATTATCCTTAGAAATACGAAAACGACGTATGCCCTCAGAGTTAGCGTTAGCCTGTACATTCGAATCCCGGACAAGTGGTGCATCCTCCTCTGGAATCTTTTGCATTCTCTTTCCACTACGAGCAATGTCATTTTTGCCCTTACTACTTTCTTCAATCAAAGGCCTCTTCCCTCTAGAAGTAGTTGCAAAATTCCCCACTGTGTCGTTAGTGACAGTCACATACTTGAAAAAGTAATGGCCAGGTATTAACTCTATCATATCACCATTTTGAATTCTCCTCTTTTCTCCAAACAAAAGCTTCCTTCTATCATTTCCGGATCTTAAGACGACCGGGTTCGTTCCTTTCTACATTTTGAATTCTCATAGTATCAAAAATTATGTGAAAGAACAAAAAAGAACGTTTTTAGGCATTGGAAATTTGTACGTTGGTAAGGTTTTAGGCAGACCCATACGATGTCACTTTCCCAGAATTTGTTTGCAATTCAAAAACAGGCAAACAAAATCACGCATAATCTTAGAGTAAGAGAGAGGCGTACTACGATGATTTCAGCAGAGCCGTCACCGAAGGAGCTAACTGCGAGGTGGTTCCTGCTGACGCGCTTGTCGGTGATCGAAATGCAATCGCGGCCGACGAAAGTAGTGCCCTTGGAGAGTAGTATTTTGGGAATGGCAGCGTTGTTCTCTTCCTCCTCGAAATTACCATTTAAGGGCATCAGGAATCCAATCTTCAAACAATAAAACGGGATGAATCAAAAGCTCACCAAAAACAGAGAGAGAGAGAGAGAGAGAGAGAGAGAGAGAGAGAGAGAGAGAGAGAGAGAGAGAGAGAGAGAGAGCGAATTGCTTGTGTTACCGTTGGAGCGGCGGCCATGGTCAACTCCCTCCGAAGTTGAGGGTGTTGATTTAGAGCATGCAGATGAATAAATAATTAATAAACCAAACAGAGTGTGAAATTGGGGTTTTTGGGGGTTTACCAAAAGGTTTCTGGAACTATGGAAGCAATCAGAGGTCAAAAACGGTGGAGGGAGAAGACAACTAGTTTTTTGTACAAATATAAATTGTTAATTTACTTATTTTTTAAAGTCGGGTCGGGCCGGGTCGGGTATAAATACATCGACAGGAAAATTAAAATTACATTGGTCGATAAATTGTCATCTGTATCGCATATATCAGTACTATCCTGTATATTAAGACTTGAAAAGGAATAATGAATTGTAACATAAGCTTGATATCAGCAAATTCTCATAAATATAGTGATATCTTTGGTGTCTGTCTGCCTCATGATATTACATCTTTTAAGGAACTATCATCGATAAAGCTTCTCGGTCGATTGATTGGTGGGCTCGAAAACGGATTCCCACCCTAGTCTTCAGTATAGGAGTATGATTATGTTTTTGTTATCTGTCAAAACATTTCTATCCAAAATTTTCAACTAATCGAATAAATTAAAATCAATAGAATAAACTGCACTTGTATTCTCTCCAACACATTCGAAATTATCTTCGGCGCTTTGATTCTTTCCGCATCTCAGCTACGTAGCTCTCCATGTTAGGTTTCTCCCATAGACGTCTCTCAATAAGGTCATCCTTTCTTGATTCATCTGGTAGATATCAAGTAAAAGGTCATAATGTTGTACAGAAATCCTAGCAAGAACTAAATATAATAATTAATTTAACAACTATAAAAGCCCGAAGTGATTAAGAATCAGTCACACTAATAAATGGAGAAAGATGGTGGTTAAGAAATATAATTACCAACGTATCTCCACGACTGGAAAGGTACTCCCAAGGATCTTCTTGTTAGATAGGAGGCATCTTCCCAAGAGTATGGTGCTTTTTTCACCTGGTACCGCCAGAACCAACACCCGTACCATAATAACAGCTGTAGATACGTAGTTTCAGTGAGGAATGAGTAAAGCCAATGATTTTTTCTTATAATTAGGCAAAATAGGAGGAAAAACTATATAGACCTTTCCCAAAGTGTAGGGTAACAAAAGTAAACGAATGCCAAAAAGTTCCCAAATAGATGGTTTTTCCGCTCCTTTAATATCCAGTTCAAGTTCCTTGCTAAGGTCTTCCTCCATTTTCCTGCCAAAAATATAAAACTCAAACCCGTGTTAACTTGGAATATGTCTGATATATTAGCTGTAAAGAAAATTGAGATAACCTTAAGGATAAAAAGAAAAAGAAAAGATACAGGCGTGCATTTTATAAGCCGAAAAAATAATTATGCGACATGATTCATTTAATTTGCTGAATTTGCTATCAATATCGAATTGATGGACAATGATAAGTAAGAAGTCATACTTGTTTATCTGCTTGTTACCCTTCTTCTTATTTGTCACTCCCCCAGTACGTTCAAGTTCTAAGGCCTTTAGCTTATTTTTGTAAGCAGGAGTCTTCTTCACCATATCAATAGCCTGAAATGAGAAAATCAGATGAAATCAGCGGCAAAGACGAGAGTGAGGGGCCTATGCTTCAAGTCTAAATAATAAACACTATACACTGGCTGATCTTTTCATATTAACAAAGATAGTTCCATCGAAATAATGCTCTCACAAGACAAAAACCCAAACAATCTTGTACTGAAAATTTTGTTTAGAACGAACAGAAACTTTCCATCTAATCTCTGAATAGCAAAGCCTGATGGCTCGATGAATGTGAAACAATAGCTAGCTAACCAGGAGTAGATAAGAACGGAATTTGCTGAAGGTGTATCCTTCATGTGTCCACCTCAGAGAACACAAATATAGTGAAAATTTCACATTTCACCCATAACAAAATTTCAGAGTTGTAATTTCGTTATTCGCCTCAATGTAGGAATTATTAGACCAGGTAAAATGGTTGAAAGCTAAAATCTCAATAGTACTGGGTTTTGAACATATTAAAAATTTCACCAGACATTGACATGTCATCACTCTAAGTTCAAACAATAGAACTGCTCTGAGAGCCATCTTAATTCTAACCAAAGAAAAGCTCCTTACATTTTATTAGAAATTAATTTATTTGCGTCAATACTATGGAAAGGCGTAAAATTATTGAATTTTACAACCTAAAAAAATGGAAGAAAAAGGAAGAGGGTATTGGAATCCAGGATTGAATGATTGTAATTTTCAGTAAGTGATGTCCTTGTTAAGTTACAGATAGTATCTTGATTTACCTGATTATATCTTGTCCACTGGTTCAAATACTGAAATCCCGAGACCACCAGAATAAGACCCACGAGGACAGCACGAGTATCCTGTTATAACAAAATAATCAAAATTCAGTATACCCAAATTTGCAGCAGATTAAAAGAAATAGTAGCCAGAAAATCTTACTGTCTTATGGCCATAGTAAGCATGGTAATACCGTGCTGTGTTGTAGAATACCTAATCAGGGAGTAAAAGGTTTAGCGTTAATGAATATCGTTTCAGCAACTGAAAAAAACAAAGATTGACTACTCTGAATGTCATAATTTTAGTGGACATCCTGAAAAATAAATACTCTTTGAAGACGTCTTCAGCATCAAAGTCGGAACTTGTCAGTGTGTATGTGAATGATCCGATTAATGCCAAATAAAATCATGATGCAATCATCCAAAAGAACTAATCCTGATGATTTTGAATGATTGGATATGTAAAAGTCAACGTAGTGGCTATAAAAATCAACTTTTCATCACGAACTGCTAAATCAACATGCACTACACTAAGATGGAAAACTAAATGAATATGGTACGATTATGAACCAAAATCTTATCGTGGATGCACAATATAGGAATAAACTATAACCATCTAGAACGTTTTGCATGTATTCCATCTAATACAGGAACAAATTCCAATAAACAAACCTCCTCTGGATGTGCAATTGCATAATCATACTGCTCCCTTGTGGCTTCGTCTTTCAAAATCTGAAAAATGAATAGAATTATAATGCAGGAAAACAATATGGCGACAAATGGTTGACAAATTCAACAAAAAGGTACAAATAGCAATTCAATAAATTACTCTTTGTCAAGTGCATTGCTAAGCCAATGAAATCATAAAAATTATCTCATACTGAGTAGTTCTATATCTCAAATTTATCAGTCAATATAGCTTCACATTCATGAAAAACGCCCTTAATACATAATTAGACTAAAAATGGTACAATTAAACAAAACCTGAACACTAAAATTTTCAACCCAATCGACTAATTGGATTCAAAATCCATTAAGACCAAAAATCAGTGAGCATACCTCGTACGCATTAGCAACTTTCACAAACAACTTCTTCGATTCTGGATCGGGATTTTTATCCGGGTGACTACAATTAAACGAAATCAACAATGTTCAAGGTCACCGGAAAAACAAAAATCAAATATTAAATCAGGACAAAAAACAAAACGACTCACTGTTTAAGAGACAGCTTGTAGTATGCTTTCTTAATCTCGGAGCTATTGGCAGTCTGAGTTACTCTGGATAATTAATACGCAAAAAACAAAATTGGTGACGAAATAAGTCGAAAAATGAAGAAAAATAAGAGAAATGCAACAGTAGAGAGGAACATCGGAGCAGAGGTTTACGCACCCTAGGAGATCGTAACAGTCGTCCTCCTCACAGTAGATCGAAACGGACGGCTGAATGAGGAGGGCGACCACGAGAATCAGCGTGGGGACGCACCACCGGATCGCCGCTAATGTCTCCATCAGCCTAATTTACACGGAGGATCTCCACCCAGAATTGGGAATTTTGGTGTGGTTTTTTATGTCGGCGTAGAGAGCGAAAAGCACACCGGAGTACGCCGAATTACTATTTTGACCTTCTTAAAACAATATGCGCTTGTCCCCCACTCCTCACCATTTTCCCCTTTCTTTTTACGTTATTTGTATTTTTATTTTCTGCATAATAATTTACCTTTGAGGCGTGCTATTTTTAAATCTTCAAATTGAAAAAATATAATAATAATATTAATAATAATAATAATAATAATAATAATAATAATAATAATAATTTTACCACCTATACTTCCTGTCTTACCCTTCTTCCCTTATAACTCAAATAAAAATGAAAAATCAGCATTGGTATAAAACAATATTCCCTTCTATTATATAAAAAAAATAATAAAATACAAATAATTATATTATTTATTACACATATAGGAAATAATCAATTTTAAAAAATCCTATATGTTTATCTCGTTTAAATTCTTTACATGAGTTTAGACTTGTTTTCTTTTTAAACTTATTTGAGTATGTCTGAATTATATTGGTGTATATGAGTATATCTATACTTATTTGAGTATGTCTGAATTATATTGGTGTATATGAGTTTAGACTTGTTTTTCTTTATATGTGTATATTGGTACTAATAAATATTTTACAACATGATCTTTTTCCAATTTTTTAAGTTTAAATGTGGGCCGATATTTTGAGATAATGTTTCGGATTTCATTGGGCTTTTTATGGTGACGTAATTGGGCTAATTGATAGTACAAGAGAGTTCGGGCTATAAGTTAATTTGGCCCGGTTTTGTTTATTAAAATTCAAAAGTTGCTAATTAGTAGTATTTTCTACATTAAAGGGACTTAAATAACTTTCAAACCGTTACGTGTGTGCAATTTTTATCTAGCGACTGTTGATAAGGGAATTCGAACTTCAGTGAACTGACATATATTTACTTGATACAACCGTTGTTTTTAGGGTCCGTTTGACTAAACTTATTAAAAACATCTTATAAACCTTTACATTCGTAAGTTCTTTTTGATTAAGATGCGGAAGAAGCCGTTACTATAAGAGGCTATATATGTCTTAATTGTACAATTAATTAAATCTATAGATTGTCTTGAGAATCCATGGCGATTAAATGAACATAAACATAATCAGATCTGATCCGAAACATATATATATATATATATATATATATATATATATATATATATATATATATATATATATATATATATATATATATATATAATTTCTCTAATATATATTAACTTTCTCTTAGTGACATCAAAATTAATATACTCCGATTGCCATAAAACGATTTGGATTGGGTATTAAAACAAAATATTGAGTACTAATGATGATACTTTATCGGAGTAGATTATATTTCAGTATGAAGGAAATTATCATTAATTGCATATCCAAACCTTAATTTAATTTCTGTATATAATTAACCATCTGCCTTCCCCACACCATTAGCCTTCATATATGTTGTGATTTGTTTAAGGTTTTCGTTTCTGGACATTCAAATACATATATACATATCTCCAGGCAAAAAGATGGCTTCTCTCCCTACCGAGGTACTAAAACTATTTCATTAATTAGTCAACAAGTCCTGCCAATTTGCATTATTTCATTTTTCACCCTATTTCATTACATATATATATAATTTATGTCCTTGTTAGTGATACATGTTTTTCAGCATTTGATTGATCGATCAATTGTTGTACGTACATGTTATATATATAGTATTTTAATTAATTAAAAACATACATGAACAATCATACAAATATCTAAATTAATTAATTAATTAATTAATATGAATATTTTAAAGTGTCGATTCAGAAAATTGTTTTATGCTGCTATTGTTGGTATGCAGTTTTTTGTCTTGATGAGGGGACAAGACTTGTCCTCACAATAAAAAAACGCACATGCTCACCTTAGGGATTAAAGTCTGTTTTCCTCTCAACTTATTAATGGTTAAATCGATCACGTGGGGGAGATGGTGTTTAGCATGTGATATAGGCTATACCCACGTGTCTGTGCATGGGAATGCTGACATGGATTCAGATTTTTAATACCCGGCCCGTTATTTCAGTTGGGTCCAGTTAGTATTATTATTATTATCATGTTGGCCTTGATCTGATTATCAACAATCAGGGTGGGGAATTGAATAGTGGAACTGGGAAATTAGACTTGGAAGAAGCACAACCAAACGAGTTGGTGGTGCATTTGGATACTCTGTGGGGACCACTGAACCAACTCTCCACCAATCGGATTTATCAATCATATCTTCATTATTTGATTGTAAATCTTTTTTTTTTTTTAATGGCCGCCTCCAACATTAAATTAATTTATTAATATATACCACTATATATATACACACATGGCAGTAATAATTCGGTAACCTTTGCAGATTAAGCCATTTAATTTGAGATTAAGCCGAAAATTAAAGATAATATTTTGATGATGTTATTAATACTACCAGCCTCCCTCCAATACCACTATAGTCTATATATTAAGGGCCCGTTTGCTTAGTGTTATTAACCTCTATTAACTAAATAGTAGGGGTTAGTAAGATGTTTGGTTGATGAGGTTTGTATTTAGTCAAGCCCGCTATTACACTCAAAGCCCGCAATTAAGTGCTATTTATATGGTTAAATTAGTAGCACATCTCCCCCTGCGATTAATTTTGTAGGGGTGATTAAAAGAGGAAAATACAATTTTATTCTTAAAACAATATCTTAATTTTTTTAATTAAAATACTTTTTAGACAATTCACATTGAATACCAGAATTTAACAAATTTAATACAAGATTTAGTCTAACGAATCAAACATCTTACTGACTAAATAATTAATTAGTCAGTGGAATATTAATCCAATCTCACCTAATCCAATGTAACCCGATATAGGTAAGCAAATGAGGATATTAATGTGATATTAAGCCCAAAATTAAAGATAATATTTTGAGAATGGGTTGTGTTATTTTGAGGGGGGGATTAATAAAGAAATAAAGAATTGTCAATATGATATTTTTTTTTTTTTTGAGTAAATTCAAGTCCATTACAAGGGGAAGTAGGGGAGGGAGGGACTCGAACCCTAGACCATTACCCTATTGGTAAAGGCTAGGTACCAACTCTCCTAATGAGGGTTGGTAATTGTCAATATGATATTATAGTACTGAAAAAATGCAATTATATTTGGACCTATATTAAGATAAAAGAGGTGATTGGGCCAGGTGGCCCTATAAGAGCATTGAATATGGATTTTTTGAGGTATCTCTATTATTACACGACAATTTTATCCTATCCGACCTGGCCTCTTATTTATAGTAAATATATTATTATTAAAGTTGGAATATCTTGTTCATTGGTGGCTAATGTTCCTCTTCATATATAGATAACCCTAGCTATAGCTACTAGACCCATACATAACCAATGGTGCCATTTCGCCATTTTAATTACCTCGTGAATTATTATTTATTTTTAATTTCATACAATCTAATTCATTAGTCGTCTACCTATATTCATAAAAAATATTGAAATTTTCAGTGTTGATATTCTACCTGATGATAATTTGTAATTGGGTTTATGTTCCTGATCAATCTCATATACATAAATCATTGTTAATTTTATTTTATTTATTTCTTGAATATATATATATATATTGGTGATAAATGATAATGATGATGAATATAATGTTTATATATATAATTTTGTCTGTAGAAAAATATCTTCCCTCCCTCCCCCTCCGATCTTCCTGGACACAAGTCCTACACGCACTCCAAAAACTTGATCAATTCCTACACCATTCCTTTTTCTTTCTTCCAATGTGTATATATGAATAATATATTAAATAGATATATATATATATATGTACTACCCCCGCGGCCCCCATGATTGTATTGTATGCATATATCTTATATACTATACTTAAAATAATTTGATTCGAGTCCCTGTTTATGATTTGAAATATTGTCATGCCAACTTGATTGCATGTCCTTGCACAGACAGTGTAGTATCTGTTCATCATAAAAGATTTTTCCAAGAATATCATATATAGTGAAAAAAGATTTTGTCGATTTCGATTAATTAGTTGCAAAAGCTAATAAACTTAGCTTATAAGTTATATATATATGATCGCTATATATATACTCGATCTCACTCAACTTGCACGAGAAAATGCAGGATCAGGGCTTACAGTGGCTACAATCCGATCAGACAGAATATTCTTCCAAGGATCATACTCAGATAGCGATGCCTATCAACAATCAAGTAAGGATTACATTATTATAAATATATATACATATTTCATTTGTTTAAGACAGACGTTCTTGATCCATTTACCAGTGTTATTCTTGTATATTAACTATATAGACAGACATATATACTTCAGAAGTAGCTTAACTATAAACTAGTTTTGAAACAGTTCATTTGTGGTGGTGTACACCAGTGCCTAATTTGTTAACATGTTTGTCTTCATTTCATCTGCAGATATTTATTTTCATGTTTAATTACAATTCTAGCTACTACTTTTCGATCGGTCTGTATATATATATATATATATATATATATATATATATATATATATATATATATATATATATATATATATATTATATATATTTTTTATGGCCGATGGGTCCTGCATGCGTACCGATCTATTGTCTATCCTAAATTTCTGGTTCTAATATCATTACACAAGATTTTACGCGGTACCCCCATATCTCAATACCCGCATCAAACACACACGAACGCTAGCTAGCTACCCTATAAATTAAACGAATAATTATTGTTTTCATTAATTATATACAACGATATCTATAAAACTTTTATCATCTGATCTTGTTCATTTGCCCCGTCTGAAATCTCTGTTTAGTTTATAAGTTTTTCAGATTTTCTTATTCGCCCAAACTTGGTCCAAATTAGGTTAAAACTTAGACCACGACGACTACTACTACTAGTACTAATACGAGGGTTTTTCTGTAAAAGTTAAAGGTTAACAACATGGTTGTAATAACTTGCTGTTTAATTAACTAGCCTGGAAGAATGGCCGCCAGAGAATCACCAGATCCGCCGTTGGAGATAACCTACAAGAATCTCATCTCCGGCACAACGCAGAATTACCGTCGGCCGGAGCTTCCGGTGGTAGAGGAGTGCGAGCTGCCGTTGATTGATCTGAAGGAACTGGACCTGGGAGATTCCGAGAAGAACTTAGCATGCAAGAAACTGATAGCAGAAGCTTCCAGAGAATGGGGTTTCTTCCAGGTGATAAACCATGGAATCCCAAGCCATGTGTTGGAGATAATGAGAGCCGAACAGGTGAAGCTTTTCGAAAAGCCGTTTGAAGAGAAGAAAACTTACAAAGATTTGAACTTCTCAGCTGGAAGTTACCGTTGGGGCACCCCTTCCGCAACCAACGTCAACCAGCTTTCTTGGTCGGAAGCCTTTCATGTACCCTTGTCCGATATATTGGCCTCCGGTCCAAACATTCATAACAACACCCTCAGGTATATTTTATTTATTTAATTAACTAATCATCATCTTCATCATTACGTAATATTCAAAATTATATATTTTCAATCCGTACGGCCCTTATCCAGCTTGAATTTAGTTCACATATAATTTTTGGGGAAGTGAGTGAAAAGGAATCTTTAGTACATGAGATAGTGTACTTGATGGCGTTCAGTACTTCTTTATATATATATATATATATATATATATATATATATATATATATATATATATATATATATATATATATGTATGTAAAATAACAACTGCATTAATATATGTACACTGTCTGAAAAGATGAGACATGCCAGCCTAGGGCATTGTTTATCTTGTGCCTAATTCCGAGACAAACTGCAGTAGTACTAGCATAAAACACACATCAACTTTATCCTTGTTTTTTTCATCAATATAATATAATCAAGATTTTCATGAGTGATTAATTAGTATATAATTAATTAGCTCAACAATGGAGCAATTTGCGGCAAGGGTGTCAGAATTAGCGAAGAAGTTAGCGGGGATACTAGCGGAGGAAATAGGTAAGAAGACGGGGTTTTTCGAAGAAACGTGCCTGCCGAGCAGTTGCTACATACGACTGAACAGGTACCCGGTGTGCCCGGTGGTAGTACAGCACCCTCAGATGTTGGGTATAATGCCCCACACCGACAGCGACTTCGTTACGGTTTTGCAGCAAGACGGTATCGGAGGATTGCAGTTAGTCAAAGATGGCAACTGGATTGCTGTTAAACCAAATCCCCATGCCCTCATTATCAACATCGGAGATTTGTTCCAGGTACGTTAGTCGTTACATACACACATGCATATATACATACATGCATATATGTTTTGTGATTTACTAGTAATTACATGAATGCAGGCTTGGAGCAATGATGTATACAAAAGTGTGGAGCACAGAGTTGTGGCAAATGCTGAGAAGGAAAGATTCTCCGCGGCGTACTTCTATTGTCCATCTAAAGACACAGTTATAGAGAGTGATGTTTATAAGAGATTTAGCTTCGGAGAATTCAAGAAACAGGTTGAAGATGATGTTCAAACGTTCGGCCATAAAATCGGGCTTTCGAGGTTCCTCGTACCACCAGGTGGATCATCATCTTCATCACTAAGTGGTGGTTTGTAGGATTAATTAAACTAGATTAGTGGAATAATTAATTAATTAGATTAACCAATTATGGGCTTTCATCGGACATTCCTACTAATTAAATCAGTAGGGTTTTTCTCCTATGTTTTGAACAAGGTTTAATTAAAAAGCTTTGATAAATAATAAATAGACTTAATACAGTCCTCTTCTCCTCCAAATTGATTGGTACAAACTACAAAGTTGTTACACAAAGAGTTGAAGCGTTGTTTTCTAGTAATAAGACATGAAATCCTTTATTTAGGGGTGTGCAGGGGTCGTACGGTTCGGTTCTTGCAAGAAACCAAGTACGTACCGATAATATCGGTTTTTCACATTTTTAAGAAACATGTCGGTTTTTTCCGGTTCTTCGGTTTTCAGTTAACGGTTTCGGTATCAATTCGGTTTATTTTCGATTTCGGTTTCATCTATTAGTTCGGCATAAAACCGATATTTGATTAACAATGAATTTCGACTTTCATTACATTTGTTTGAGAAAATTAACAAATAACAATTCAAAATTAACTAATAAACAACATGTCCCAACCCAAAACATAAAAAAATGTCACATTGAGGCATTCGATGGATAGATGGTAAATATTTATACTATATATCAAAACGATGTTGTTTTGTAAGAATCGGTTCGGTTCGGGTAATTGGTTCGGTAATTTTTTTATTCTGCATACACGAACCGATATTTTCGATTTTTGGTTTTTTTTTTTACCGTGTATGCTGTTTTAAGTTGGGACGGTGTATATTGGCTCGGTTTTTTATTCGGTTTTTTGGTTTCTCTTTTTTTTTTTTCTCACCCCTACCTTTATTAAGCTTTCAATATTCAATTCGAAATTGATTGACCTAATTTTTTTAGCATAATTCTGGATTGAAATTTTAAAGCATTCTTGATTTTTACATAGGCCCAATTGGACAAAGTAGTCTATTATCACGGCCCAATTGGTCAAATTAGTCTATTATGGCCCAATTGGTTAAATTCGTCTATTACGGCCCAATTGGTCAAATTAGTCTATTACGGCCCAATAAGCAAAATATTATTTATTGGCCCAATTGGATTTACAATTGAATATAGGCCCAAAGTTGGCCCGCGTCCGAATCAAACCCAAACAAACTCCCCTCCACATATATGGCATCCAATCGGAGGTGGTGCACCGTGCACGGCGGAGCAACACCCTGCCCTGCTGTATGATTAATCACAGATTATAAGTGATTATTTGATGCGATTAGTATAACCTTTTGAACTGCCTACTGAGAGTGTCTACTGCTTTTCTGACTCAATATTATTATATATTATCAAGTAAAAAAGCATAATCATGAACCAATTTTTTCATCTTTTTTTTTTTTTTTCAATTTTTCATTTTTTTGGCAATAATGGGGATAGGTTGTTGACTGGGGCCACCTAGTGTAGTAATAATGTTGAGTGGTGGAGGCTTCTGAATTCCGGTACATAATCACCCGATGCTTTTGAATTCTGATTTGTTTGTATGTGTGCTTAACGGGTGGTGAGTATCTGTATAGAACTACACGGTAGAGAATCACTTGATGTTTTTCATCGAGTGTAGCATCTCACAGACCATGCGTATATTTGAAAATTCCATTTGAAGGACCATGCTACATTAGTATTATGCAGCACAAATCCCTACATTTCTCTGTTTCTTTCCTAATCACACACAAAAAAAAAAGTTTGCAAAATGGGCTTTCTTTCTGCCTTTCAAATTAACATTAAAAAGGTATACAGCATCATGTACTTTTGATGTCTTCCACTCTTGCAACAATTAAAAAACAAAAAGAAATTAAAAAAAGATTCTCGATTTCTGTCTTAACGCTGCGGCGCCTATCTGCTGTTGAAAAAAGTTCGATGCCCTTTCTGCCAAAAAATTGTGTTTCTCTGTGTTCTTTTTGTTTTGAATCTTTTGTAGTTCCAACCTTATATTACGATCAAGAGTTGGTCCTGTAATAATCGAGCGTTCTACAATTTGATGTCATGTTATTCAATCGAGTGCGTTTTCATCGCCTTTGAAGTTTCCCATGGATAATGTGAAATAGATCAGCACCATTGTTCCCATGCACGACCTGCAACGCAATTACGATTCATCAGTTACATAATACCGCATAACTATTTCTCGATTTACTATTTTTTTAAATTTAATTCACTATATCACAAACTTACAATGTGGCAAAGAAGAGAAATATCCTCTTAGGATTGAGAGTCCACGTCGGAGGAGACGATCGCCTGAAACTGAATCTCCTTCCGCCCAATTTGCTCTCCACCGCCGCCGGCACGCCGTTCAGGCTGCCGTTAGTGATTGTGATCTGATGATGAACTTGAGGTGTGATTGATTGGTCTGTGGGCCCCACAGCCACCACCCCCTCTGCCTTTTCGGGCGTGCTGCCGCCTCCTCCATGTAAAGCAGCTGCTGCAATTTTCATACCAAACCAAATTAAAGTTACAAAATAAATAGGCCTCTTTTTCAGTACCAAACTTTTTCCCTAATCTATCTAACAGGCGTGCCCAGAATGAAATGTATGTGGTGTACCAAATAGAAGATGCTATTTGGTTTAATAAGCTAATTAAATTAAACCATAAAAATTAATTAAGCACTAACACAGCTAATTTTGCAACTTAATTAAGTCGATTATATCAACGATATGTGGGGCATGATCTTTGCACGATGATATATATTATTATTATTGTTATTGTTATTGTTATTGTGCTAGTCCACGTAAAATATATATTCGTCGAACGATCGACGTGCAAAATCATGCCCCACATATCTGTGATAATGTATATAAAACAATTCAATTATGTTAATATATATTATGTCAGTATGTGGTTGTTGTCATTATAACAAATTAAATAAAACAAAAAAAAGAATTCCAGCATGTTATGAACACACAGAGAAACCCATCCCCCGACAAGAAACAAAAGTGCATACATACAAACTGAACTCAAAGACAACTCAGAATTAAATGCTGGAACAACAAGATTATTTTGTTTTCTGATTTTTTTTCTCGATTAAAATTATTTGTCAGCAACCGATGAAAAATACAAAAATGTTGAATGACCGACATTCTTTTTTTTTTGCTGGGGTAAATTGTAGTAGTTCTGCAAATAAGATGATCTTTTTTTGTAATTTCAGAAGTTATTTGTAAAAAAACAAATTTAAAATTAAAAAAAAAAGAAAAAAAAAAGAAATAAATGATTGTGCCACGTGTACCTTTTGGTGAGATGGCAAGCAGAGCAGTGTCTCTATCGACTTTGTTCTCTCCAGTTCTGGCAGTTCCTTTTCTCGAAAGGTTTCTCTGCAACTGTTTTTCGTCCCCATATATTAACAAAAATTATATCTCTCCATCCTTTATTTATTTATTTATTTATTTTATTTTCTAATAATAATACAAATTGTTTAGAAAATATTTAAAAAAAAAAAGAAAAAAAAAACAGGTAAGAAAAACTTAAAGAAGTGACACTGGATTGAGACGAATTAATACGAAGTAAATCAGAGTGGAACTTTCTGGAATAAAGTCGTCATATTATTTTATTTACTTATTTCATTATTAAAATATTTATGCGTAAATGAATTAATTACAATTTACAAGAAAAGAGAGAGAGAGAGAGAGAGAGAGAGAGAGAGAGAGAGAGGAGGAGGAGGAGGAGGAATGAACTTACTGTAATTCTTGAATGTGCATTTATGTCTTTTTCTAAAATATGAGAAAACCGTTCCATATCCACCACGAAGCTATCGGATTTCGTGCTCGAATGCTCCAACCCGTTTACTTGACCCGATACACAATCTGGACCCATATTATTCTCCTCCTGAAAATACAAATTCTTCTAAATATCACTAAATTTAATTTGTTTATGGATATATATATACATATAGCCTATAGAATTAATAACGAAGTGGAAACTAGTTTGGGTAAATTATGTAAGGTAAATGAAACAGTTGGGAAATAATTACATAAACAAAAAAGGGAAAAAACTGCTTACCAGTTTTGGATTATCAGTCATTTTCTTCAGCCTGTGAATTCTGAAATAATTAAGAAGAAGAAGAGGTAAAGAAAAAGGATTGATTTTGATTTTGATTTTGATTTTGATTTTGATTTAGGAGTAGTTTGTTCACAAGGTTGCGTATGTAATCAGGAAATCGTTTTCCTCTTTCCACTATCTGATTTATCCAAACAAAAAATAAAAATAAATAAATAAATAAATAAAAAGCACGCCTTTTTTGAGTCAACTTTGGATTACCTAAATAGATAATCAAAACAAGTTCTTTTCTTGTAAGAAAACTCTCGTGAATTATAAGAAACAGAAAGAAAGAAACCTTAATTTTCAAGCTTCTCTCTCTCTCTCTCTCTCTCTCTCTCTCTCTCTCTCTCTTAATTAAATAAAATAAAATGAAAAGTTCAAACCTCTGCAGCGCACGAAAAGCAGAGCTTCTGTTAATCCCTCTAGAAAGAATGTATGTAACGGTACTTACTATACAGTATTGATTGGAGAAGAAGGGACAATTGTGTGGGGATATCGAGGATGATTATGGTGAGAGAAACTTTGGGTTATTATTATCATTATTATTTTTTTTTTTTGGGAGAATGAATGAAATAATATTATGAAAAATGTTGTTTTTTTGCGTCAAGAGAGAGGGTGGATGGGGTCTTCAGTAAGTTGGAAGTTATATATATATATATAAATGTATATATATATTATATATATGCGCAGTTGTTGTTATCTGTCATTATTGTAAAGCTCTATGATTAATATTTAGAACTTATATTAATAATGGGTTTTAATATTTTGGAGCCGTGTTCATGTGAATTTGGGGTCTATTGTATGATAATAAATTCAAATTTTGTTACATGATTGCGTTATCAATCATGGATTTTGAGAAAAAAATATTGTATGATTTGATTTGATAATTTATATTTTGTTTTTTTGAAATTAATCGGGGTGAATTTAAATTGCTTTAGTTTATCCAGTATCTATCCCAAAAAAATAAAAAATTATCCGATATCTACGCATGTTGATGCAGTCATGGGTTTGTAGAACTCAGATTCAATGCAAGTAATTTAAATAAATCAGTCAAAAGTTTAAAATATTATAATCTGGTCTGAACGTATAATATCACATGATTCCCATTTTCCATTACATCTGTTTTTTTTTTTTTTGTATTTATCTTTTACATTCAAATAATCAGCACTCTTGTAACTTTATACCCCATTATGAATTAATAAGTATTATTGAGTTATTATGTAGTGGTAAACAATATTAATTATAATAAAAAGACACAAAGAAGTCCCTGATTATTAACATGTCAAAAGGAAAATTTTACATGCTTAAGTGATTCAATGTGTATAATAATATAATTTATTCAACAAATGACCAAAATTTCCACATGTAAAGGTGAAAAAGGAAGAAAAATTCAATAGGAAAAACATGGCAAGAGGAAAAAGAAATACATACATATAATTTCTTTTGAAGTAAATTACGGTTAACTCACGAGGTATTAACAAATATCTTAAATGCTCATGTGGTATCAGTAATTATAAAATACCTTTCTTAACTATTGCTCCGTTTAATAGTTATGCCCCTGGCGGTAATTAATGTTATATACTCATATGGGGTAAATGTAATATTTTGTCACCCCTGAGGGTACCCGTAATTTATTCATAGTTTATTTGTTTAATAAAAGGCTAATTTAGACAATTCATCATTCTAGTAGAGTTTATGATGGACTATTAGTTTTAAAGGGGTATTTATAATTACCGATACCGCAAGAATTTGCAGGTTATATTTAGTTTTACCCGAGGGGTATCCGTAATGTACCCTTTCTTTTATGCACAAACAAGTCAAGTCAAGTCATGCATCCAAAACACCCGCATTTATATATACAATTAGATAATAAATGAACAATTTCTTTCTGAAATATAACTCGTCCTCTAGATGTTATACCTGATGCAAAATATCGAGTAGTTTTTCACCTTTGATTTACATACAATCACACATATATATATACATACATACATACAATATTCATAAAAATTTGTACAGTAGAGTAAATCCCAAATAAAATTCATCTTCGTGTAGCATAAATCGAACCCTATATATGGACCACTTTTCCCTCACGCCTAATTGAGCCCGGTTATCATGCTGCAATACGACAGGGTGCAACCTTGACTCCTTTACTTAATTAATTTTTTTTATTTATATATACTGCAGCTGTTAAAACTTAAAACTGATTAATTATCTCTGCTAACATGCATTTGGATATATAATTTCTTTTATTTAACAAACTCACACAAAATAAAACAACTTGTTTATTAATTGTCTATACGTACAGATACTATTCACCTGTTTTCCTCAGATGTCTTTCAATTTATTATGCTACATTAAATGGGAATGCAAATGAAGGTCAAATGGTTGACTTTTTGTGCTAGTTGAGTTACTACTTGTACCACATGCATGCAGCCCAAGTCAACTCACTGTTTGTTCCAATTTTTTTTTTCCCCATGGAAATAAATATTTATGGTTCACTACTTTATGGATTTATGCAGTGATTTAGGTATTTATTGACTTTTTTTTTAATTTATTATTTTGTTGATCTCCTCGTGCATGTAGTGGTTAATGTTCATTAAGGCTCTTGAATGCATTTGCCAACATTTTTAAATTGGAGGTTGACAAATATAGAGTAATGCAATAATGTAGAATTAATTACAGGTAATTATATATAATCAGGAATATTCCCCTTTTTCATGTGCTTACCGTGTTTTCTGGAAATATTTAATTACATAGTACTCCACTTTTTAATATTGCAACCCTGTTGTGTTCAGACTAGTTTAAAACAAAGCCCAAATACATTTTCTTATTTGGGCCTTTAGATTTTGGGCTATGCTTATTTAATGTAATTCAAAATTTATTTACAGTTTCCATTATGCAGTAAATAAATCATCTCATTATTTTATATTTTTCAATTACAATTAACTGGTGATTATATAAATTTAAATTTTTATTTTATTATTATATATTTTAGGGTAAATTACACCCACACCCTTGAGGTATACTTAAATAATTTTAAGGTCCTTATGGTATCGATAATTACACTCACCCCCTGAAACGTAGTTAGAAACTCTAACGGGATAATGCATTGGATACAATATTCCGATAGGGTTATAATGAACTATTACTTTTAGCTAGTGGTGGAGATAACATAGAGTTATGGGGAATTTTGGGGGTGACATGGCTCCCCCAATATTTCTTAAATCACCCATATAACTCTTTGTTGTCTCCACCACTTCCTGAAACCAATAGTCCGTTAGAACTCTATCGTAATAGCGTATCTAATGCATTACCACATTAGAGTTTATAACAACGTTTCAAGGGGGTGGGTGTAATTATCGATACCACAGGGACCTTAAAGTTATTTAAGCATACCTAAGGGGTGTGAGTGTAATTTACCCTATATTTCCATAGACGAAAACATCCAACACAAACATTCTCCGGCAGATATTCCTTTGTACAATGGCTAAGCAATTAATTATAGAAAGCATGGGGTTCCGGTTTGAGATTACGTCAACCATTCGGTTCAAAATATCTAATTGTCCGGTTGGAGTTGGACCGGACGGTTTGATGTTGCCGAATTACAAAGATACGAGGTGTCCGGTTCACTTCAGCTAATATCCCATAATGCTTTCTAGGATTTATTCAAATTCATTTTTTTAAACATATTTATTGTACGTCTCAAAAGGTTTTTTTTTTTTTTTTTTTCTAAAAGAAAAATTCAATTATATTACAGCTAGTAAAATAGGGGAATGTGTAAATTTTAATAATAATGAATTGATCTAAACTTCAAAGATTAAGATGACTAATGCTAAACAAACAAAATTCTTGTTCATAAAATTCAATGAATTCAAATAGTAAATATTTTGCTAAATTAATATTCAATAAACTAATAATCTCATTTAAATAATATTTTTTTTTCGATCCCTACTCAAGGACAACGTACGGCTGCATAATCTGCTTTCGGCATTCAGGCAGGCGGTGTAAAATAATTAATTTATAAATCCTTGTTTAACAAAGGAATATATTTCCTAGTCAGGGCAGATCACCTTCTACACATAAACCACATCCAACACTAATTAGTAATTACCATACATATATTCTCTCTACCTGTTAAAGTCCCAAACTTTTCAAATGCTTAATCACTCCTAATCCTCATTAATAATTAATAATCACATCTATGCACATATGTATATGACTTCTGTCTTATCAGATTCCATCCTCTTTCCATCCTTAATCCATCAATACAACCATTCTTCTTCTCTGATAATTCAACAGTTACAGCCGAAATGGTTCGCCGGAAAATCGACAAAAACCAACTTGATTTTTTCTGCTGGTTCTTTTGTGTGGTTACTATTCTAAGTTTGGCTGGTTTCGTTGCATGGCTAAGCCTAATCCCAAGAAGCCCGATTTTCAGAATTTCAGACGCACACTTTCCTTCACCAGATTCCAATAATCATTCTACTCGTAGTAATATATCAGTTCCAAACAGGCCCTTAATCTTTAACCTCGAAATCTTCAATCCAAACAAGCGTATGGGAATCTATTACAGTGGGATCAATATGGAACTGTACGGTGGTGGTGATGGTGGTGGTGTTGTTGGGAGAAATTCGACTCCGGGTTTTTATCAGGGGCATAAGAATACTACTCTGCTACAGATAGTGATCCAAGCCAATCAAGAAATTTGGCAGAGGGGTAATGGTGGAAATCTGGATTTCGTTAGGGTTAAAACTGGTGTCGTTTTTCGGATTATCAAATGGAAGACGAAGCTTCGCCAGATTGTTTGCGATGAACAATTCAGCATTGAGAAAGTCAATACCAATGGTACTGTTTTAGGAGGAAATTATGCACAGCAGCAAAATTCATCAAGAGTAAAAATTAGAAATTGAAGTGTTGATACAATTAGACCGTCGTAGAATCAAATTTTGTATTATTCTTTCTTTCTTCGGTTTGTTTTTCAGTTGAGTGTAATGTTAGAATGCATCAAAATGTAATATACCTGCAGAAAATTCATAAACGGGAATATCATTTGGTCGGTTGTGTTTCAAGATTTGTCTTTCCCGCCTAAATTAAATCTATATTCTGATGTTCTTAGTAATGTGAAGGAACTAATACGGCAGCAAAGAGCAAAGAGAGTAACCTTTATTCTTTACAGCTTTGACAAAAGAATCAACGACTTCTCTTATCGGCAGATTTCATCTTTCTATGGTACCAAAATTCCTTTGAAGTTTGGCGTACACTAACGACTTGCTTTCGCCATTCATGAATAGGAATCTGCAAACAAAGAAGAAGAAGAAGATTTTCTAACCATAAAAACTTATAATACTATAAATTGTGTTGAGAAAGTCGATTAAAATGGATTGAGAAAAATAAAATTGAATTGAAGTAAATTCTTACAGCAGGGAAGCCTCCATAATCCCCTGCTTCAGTAATGTTCTTTGTGACGCAGCTATTAGCCGCTAATCTGACCTGCATTTCCACAGCCATTAACAGTTTTAGCATATTGTCTTAATTGGATTGCGACCCAAAACTAGAAACAATATTAATAAACTATCAGATCAGGAAGAAAGCAAAATTAAATATTCAACTACCGAAATAAGAATTCAAACGACATTAAAAATGATATCTCGAACATTGTTGCTATGCAGAGTTATACCTTTGATGCTATGCAGACATGATCACGAATTGAAACTCTTCCTCCTAATGCCACATAATCTCCCATCCTGAAAGAATTAAGTGTACAAACATGTCTCAGATTCTCAGAGGTTTTGAAATTTAACTGAGATTTGATCTTATAAAATATGAACAGATAGTATTAGTATTAATAAAAATATTAATAAATAAATGTAAGTTGTTGGAGGTGTAAAAACAGAAAGTGTAAAAGAAGATAGTATACGTCACTGAACCAGCAATCCCGACTTGTCCACATAACATACAACTTTTCCCAATCTCCACATTGTGACCTATCTGCAAGGTGAAGCACTTAAAAAATGACTGCACATGAAGAATAATTACGATACTGCCAGAGAATAGAATCACACACCTGTACTAAATTGTCGATTTTGGTATGATCCCCAACTATTGTATCTCGCCAACTACATGCACAAAAATATTAAATGATCACCAAACAAACAAATAGTTAGGAACATCCCACATTCTAAGATTTGTAATGATAGCAGCAAATAACTAGTTAGAGTACCTGCCCCTGTCTATGCACGTATTTGCACCAATTTCCACATGATTGCCTATCCTTGCTTTCAAGATCTGTAGACCAAGAAGGAAGAGTTCACAATAAAATGCCTAGAAAGATAAACAAATAGTTTACGCAAAGAGAAAAAAAAGATAAAATGGAAATTCGAGAAATGTCCTGTTTTACACGACTAACTGCATCTTCAGCGTTTAAAATTGTAACCATACATAAGGCAAGAATTCAAGACTGGTATCATAGAAAATTGTAATTGATAACTAACTTGAGGCTTCTTCACCATAGACCCCTTTTCATCAACAAAAAATCCAAAACCTACCAAGGAAAGACAATATGAACTGCACTTAGATTAAATGTTAGAAAATCAATGATACATGCTTGTAAGAAAAGACGATGTAATGAAAAAGGTGTAATAATTTATGGAAACTCAAGAGTCAAGACATTGATAGTAACACCAACCCAAACAGCTTGAGGAAGGGCCTTACCATCTTGACCAATGCAGACCCCATGATGAATAACACAAAAATCACCGATCGTGCAATTACTGAGTACAACCTTGTAACTGGAGAAATACATGTTCGTTTAGTCGGAAAAAAAAGGTCAGTCAAAAAGTAAACAATAATCTATTAACACACAAAAAATGAACAAAGGAACTCCAGTGACCAAAAAGAACTGCTTAGGAAAATCATCACAGTGATTCAAAAGGGTTTCATGTAAGAGTTTCCGACACAACTTTGTACCGAAACGTGAGTTCATGAGTCAAAATGCAGTAATGAGAAAATATTCTTTTGTAAATGCCAAAAACCAAGGGCGGTTTTTCTAGGATAAACAAATGGCTGTACCCTGTTGTTGTTGATTGACCAATAGTGACAGAAGGTCCGACGATGCTTCCGGACCCAATGGAGACATTTGCACCCACAGTAGATTCTGAATGAACGAGTGCGCCAATCTCTATCCGGGCAGTTGGATCAATACGAGCAGATTTATGAAACATGCCTCCCCCATTGCACCATTGCTTATATTCTTGATCACATCTCTTGAAATCATCATCTAACAATAGAAACTCATGATTCATATCTAGTGTCAATGTATTAAAGCATAATAGGTGGGAATAATAAATTATATACAAATACTTGCAAGCGGAATTTTCACAAACAGTTTGAGAGCAAGAAATTAGTAACGACTAATTTAGACTAGTGTGAAATAATAACTGAGTCACCTGGGTGTCGAGTTGTGAAATTGTTAGATATGGGTCTTGAGAAGAAGAAGAAGGTAGTACGGATATTGGGTTTGATGAAGTTATAGGAAGCTAATTTAGCAATGCGTATTGCCATGGCAAATGTGAAGCCTTGTTGATTTCGTTATAGAAAGTAAAGCAGCTGGTTTTTTTTTCAGAAACGGCTGGATTGTCTTTTCTCGGTTTCATGCCGTAATCACTCTAATCTAATCTAATCTAATCTCCATTTGAATTTTTTAATTTCTTTAATTTATATTTTTATATATATTATATATATATGTCAGGCTTCCCTATTTTGGGCCGTCCCATTTCGTTCCTCCTTTTCTTTTTGGGCCATTCATCTATAACATCCTCCCATTCCCTCCAAAATTTTAAGAATCTTTTTAATATTTCAATTGTATGGGTAAATTACAAAACATTCCCCTTATATTTAAATAATTATAAGTCCTCCTAACTATGCATCTTCTTAAAAGAAGGTAAATTCATTTTTTTTTTATAAATACTTAGAAAACTATTCTCCAAAATTTTAGAATTTCACCCCAAATTTAACGGCGGAAATTCCGCTATTTCGTATATAAATCTCAGGGTCCATTTGGATGGAGGGATTTGAGAAGGGATTTGATTTGGGGAATGGATTTGAAATGACTCCAATTTTGGAGTCATTTGAAATCCATCACTATTGCTCCAAAATCAACTAAAAAGGAGGGGTGGATATTTGAAATCCATCTCCAAATCCCTCAATCCAAACAAGTCCGAGGGATTTGTTATTATGGATTTGAAATCCCTCCCCCAAATCCCTCCATCCAAATGCACCCTCATAGTTGATTAATTTTAGAGATGAAAAAAGTGTATCAATGGTGCGATTTTGGTATCAATAGTTGATTTGATTCTTATAAACTTTTTAAATGTGGTAAAACTTGCTCCATAAAATGTGGTAAAACTTGGTTTGCTAAGAAGTTGGTTACGAAAAGAATAATTTTATTTAATTAACTAAATAATATATATTTATTTAATTATTTAATATCCACCTATATTGCTTTTTCTTATTTTAATTACATGTACCTTTACGATATTCTTCATATCCAGACCATTTATAACCTCCATTTCCGGCGACCTAGTACTCGGATCCCGCTGCCCACGAACCTAATTGATTCGATCCGTCCTGATGTGGAACACGAAGAAACCATTTCCGACGAAAACCGGGGCCATAACCGGTTTCCGGTCGAACCGGCAATTTTGTCCAATAACTCCGGTTTTCATTTGTCTGGTTTTCGATGTTGAACCAGACCGGGTATGTGGTGGGTATCGGTCGGACCGCCCGGTCCGGTCGGTTCTGACAACCATGGTTGTGAGTCTTGTGACCTGCTCCTTCCTTTGTCCTCATCGCTAAAGTCAGTCAAGCAAAGTACACGCTTCTTCATATATATATATATATGTATATATATATTCTTTTTCTTTTTTCGAGCCAGCATCAATTAGTCAAACTGTGTGAGCAACTATAGTTATTATGACAATTTATTCATGTACAAGATCACAAAAAATGGAAATGAGAATCCAATTAGTAGTCGTGATTCTGATAAGCCTTTCAGCAAGTTATGTCGGAGCCCAGTCCCTAACTACCTACGCTTGTCTAAACAACGGAAACTACACAGTTAACAGCACATACAGCACAAATCTCAACACCCTACTCTCATCTCTCTCCTCCAACATCGCCGACGATGGATTCCACAACGACGCCTCATTCGGCCAGAGCCCAGACAGTACCGCCAACGCTATTGTCGTCTGCAGAGCTGACAGAACCCTCGACCAGTGCCGCACGTGCGTCCAAAGCGCTGCGGTTAGGTTATTAGAGCTGTGCCCCAATCAAAGGCAGGCTATTATATGGTACGATTTCTGTATGCTGCGCTACTCAAACGACTCCATTTACGGAACCCCGTCTTTCGATCCAAGGTGGATCACGCGCAATGTTGCGAATGTCCCGGAGATCGGTAGCATTGATCGGTTAAGGGAGAATCGGACAAGGCTGCTGCTGGACGATCTTCAGTTCCAAGCTGTTTATGGCAACACTGTAATGAAGGTTGGTGCAGGGTCCAGGAGTTTTTCAGATTCTACAACACTTTACGGGCTGGTGCAGTGCACCCCGGATTTATCCCCGTCGGATTGCGCATCTTGCTTGATCCAGGCAGCTCGAAGCTTGAGTGATGGTTTTGATGCAAGGGGAATGAGAATACTGTTACCCAGCTGCTATATTCGTTATGAGACTTATCTCTTCTACAATGAAACCAGGCTTCTCGAACTCCATCTCGTACTTTTGCAGCCCACCCCAACACTTCCTGCAGGTAAGAATGATTGACTGTTAGAATAATTATATTGATAAGTTAATTAACAAGCAACTAATCATCATGTATGCAAGTCTTGCAGGAACGGGTGATAATACAATTAAAATTGCTGTGAGCGTTGTTGTTCCGATTGTGGTGTGTCTATTAATCCTGGCTGCTTTTGCTGTAATCTGCGTGAGAAAAAGAATGAAGCGGAGGAGGCCGAATAGAATCCCCTTCGAGGGTAATAAATTAGTTTTTTTTCTATAATTTTGGTTTATTGTATTTTTCAATTATTGATTACTTTTTTGTTACCTAGCTAGATGGATCAGAAGATAAAGATGATATTAGCAGTACTGTTGATTCCCTGCAATACGATTTTGGTAAAATTAGAGACGCAACCAATGATTTTGCCCCTGAAAATGAGCTTGGGCAGGGTGGATTCGGGGCTGTTTATGCGGTAATTGAGCAATGATGAATATTAGAACAAAGACAATTAATTACATGCAGGTTTGGTTTAATTTATTCGATTGATTATATCTTGTTTTAACTTCAGGGGAAACTTCCAAATGGTCAACAAATAGCTGTCAAAAGATTGTCTAGAGATTCAGGGCAAGGCAATTTGGAATTCAATAACGAAGTGTTGATAGTGGCTAAGCTTCAGCATAGGAATCTGGTTAGACTATTGGGTTTCTCCAGAGAAGGAACCGAGAGGCTTCTAATATATGAATTCGTCGAGAATGCCAGCCTCGACAAGTTCCTCTTTGGTAACTTTGCTTTTTCTTTTTTGAGCTTTGATAATGAATTAATTAATGTTATTCTGATCGCTTTCTTGATTATTGGATATGTAATACTAGACCCGATCAAACGTTCGGATTTGGATTGGGATACACGCTACAAGATCATAGGGGGTATTGCAAGGGGACTTGTGTACTTGCACGAAGATTCTCGACTCAGGATCATTCACCGTGATCTCAAAGCCAGCAATGTGCTTTTAGATGGAGAGATGAACCCTAAAATTGCAGATTTCGGAATGGCAAGATTATTCGGGCAAGGTGAAACCCTAGGAAACACAAAAAGGATTGTCGGAACCTAGTAAGTGTCATTTATACTCGTATTAAAACCCCATTATGACATTAAAAGATTTCACTTTTGAATAAGAATAACAATTTCCAATAATTTACCTATCTCAGTGGATATATGTCACCTGAATATGCAATGCATGGACAGTTCTCCGTTAAATCGGATGTGTTTAGCTTCGGAGTGCTAGTCTTGGAAATCATCAGCGGTCAGAAAAATACTGGTATCGAAAATGAGGGGAATGTGGAGTACCTCTTGACTTTTGTAAGTATGGATATGTAGCATCATAACTTCGATGACTGTTAAATTTGAATATGAAACTAAAGATTTTGCATATTTTTCTCAGATATGGAGAAACTGGCAGGAAGGAAGTGTTGAAAATATGATAGATCCAGTCTTGATGAATGGTACGGGTTCATTGGCCGAAATATTGAGATGCATTCACATCGGTTTGTTGAGTGTTCAAGAAAATGCTGCTGATAGACCAACAATGACTGAAGTTCTTCTAATGCTCAATAGCTCCACCGTAACTTTGCCACTACCTTCAAGGCCGGCGTTTTTAATGGGCAGTCATTTTGGTCCAAACGTGGAATATGATTCCAAGAACATTCGTCAAGGTTCATCTGTAAATGATGTCACGGTGACTGAGTTACATCCACGGTGACTATATATGCAAGAAGGTGTCATCCGTTTCTGCAAGACGTGTTTGTATTTCGGTTATTTTTGCTTTACATCGATTTTGTTTTGTTTTTCTACATACTTGTAACCGTACGTAATTATATAGTATTATGCATAGGGTATGTAGTTAATACGCATCCAATCAATTGAATTTGTTTTGGGGGTCACAGTTGATCAATTGTATTCCAGGTTTCTGTAAAAACTTCTGTGGAATTTTAACAAACAGTTTGGGAGAGCATGAACTTTGTAACGGCTAATTTATCAGGGAAATAATAACTGACTCACCTGGGTTTTATGAAATACTACTCTGCTCAGATAGTGATCCGAGCCAATCAAGAAATTTGGCAGAGGGGTAATGGTGGAAATCTGGATTTCGTTAGGTTGAAAACTGGTGTTGTGTTTCGGATTATCAAATGGAAGACGAAGCTTCGCCAGATTGCGTGCGATGAACAATTCAGCATTGGGAAAGTCAATACCAATGGTACTGTTTTAGGAGGAAATTATGAAGAGCAGCAAAATTCATCAAGAGTAAAAATCAGAAATTGAGGTGTTGATACAATTACAATTAGACAGTGGTAGAATCAAAATTAAAAAAAAAAAAATTCTTCGGGTTTATTTTTCAGTTGAGTGTAATGTTAGGATGCATCAAAATGTAATATACCTGCATCATAGACTATAAATCTGCAGAACATTCATAAACAAGAATATCATTTAGTCGGTTGTGTTTGAAAATTTGTTTTTCCCTCCTAAATTAAATCTATATTCTGATGTTCTAACTAATGTGGAGGAACTAATACGGCAGCAAAGAGCAAAGAGAGTAACCTTTATTCTGTACAGCTTTGACAAAAGAATCACCGACTTCTCTTATCAGCAGATTTCATCTTTCTATGGTACCAAAAGTCCTTTGAAGTTTGGCGTACACTAACGACTTGCTTTTGCCATTCATGAATAGGAATCTGCATTGACAATATGAAGAAAGTTTTCTAACCTTAAAAACTTATAATACTATAAATTGTGTAAAGAAAGTCGATTAAAATGGATCGAGAAAAATAAATTTGAAAATTGAAGTAAATTCTTACAGCAGGGAAGCCTCCATAATCCCCTGCTTCAGTAATATTCTTTGTGACGCAGCTATTAGCCGCTAATCTGACCTGCATTTCCAGATTCAGTTTTAGCATATTTTCTTAACAAATGACGGCCCTGTTGTTGTTGATTGACCAATAGTGACAGAAGGTCCGACGATGCTTCCGGACCCAATGGAGACATTTGCACCCACAGTAGATTCTGAATGAACGAGTGCGCCAATCTCTATCCGGGCAGTTGGATCAATACGAGCAGATTTATGAAACATGCCTCCCCCATTGCACCATTGCTGATATTCTTGATCACATCTCTTGAAATCATCATCTAACAAGAATAACAAGAACACAAATCTCAACACCAATGAAATGGCAGACTGATCTTTTAATCCAAAAAAAAAAAAACGGGGTAATTGCTAACAATAGAAACTCATGATACATATCTAGTGTCAATGTATTGAAGCATAATAGGTGGAATTATAAATTATGTATAAATTAGTTTCTATTTATATATATATGTCAGGCTTCCCTATTTTGGGCCGGCCCATTTCTTTCCTCCTTTTCTTTTGGGCCATCCATTCACGAGACGACGACGTTTTTATATGACCTCCAAAATTGTAAGAATCTTTTTAATATTTCAAACTACGAGGCAATTTCAATTTTTTATTAAATAGTAGAAACTTTATTCCCCAAAATTTTAGAATTTCACTCAAAATTTAATGCCGAAAAATTCCGTTATTTCATATATAAATCTCATAGTACTATAATTATGCATCGTTGGCGCCGAGGAAACAATGCGACTGCTACAAACTAGCAAGTAGCAACCGATGATTTGTCAATTTTAGAGATGAAAAAAAATGTGTCAATGGTGTGATTTCACTACCAATGGTTGATTCTTATAAACTTTTAAAATGTGGTAATGTATGCTTGCTAAGAAGTTGTTTACAATAATAAACAGTGCTACTTATTCGTCGATATACTTATAGTAAATATTATATGTTTTATGGTGCATAGTAAAATAGATATATTAGACAACATTAAGATGAATGAAATGAGGAATTTATCTGAAAAATGAGACCACATCTAAGTATAGGCTAAAATTAATATCTTATTTACGAAAATAAGAAAGTTGGAATTTTCTTTGATCCAAAACTTGAACGAAACTTCCACGAAAGAAGTCTGTATACCGTCGCGGCCTGCTCCTTCGTTTGTCCTCATCGAGTAATGTCTAATTCGACTACTAATCAAACACATATGACATCTAAGTCTTTTCTCTCTCTCTATTTTATTTTATCATATTTTTAATTATTTTGGGTGGATAAATCTAATTATGAAGAAAAGTAGAGGTTTCTGATTCAAACTGTGTGACCAAGAATATAATATAGATAATGTGAATCTATTCTGATCACAAAATTTTGGAAATGAGAATCATCCAAGTTATGAGGAGGGAGCTACTAGTAGTAGTAGTACTCGTGATTCTGATAAACTTTTTATCCAGCTTTGTCGGAGCCCAGGATCAAAATCCGTACTACGTTTGTCTAAATAACGGAAACTACACAGTTAACAGCACATACAGCACAAATCTCAACACCCTACTCTCATCTCTCTCCTCAAACATTCATGACGACAATGTATTGATCTACAACAACGCCTCCGCCTCCGTTGGGCGGAACCTAGACACAGCCAACGCCATTGTCCTCTGCAGAGCCGACAGAACCCTCGACCAGTGCCGCACGTGCGTACACAACGCCGCCGTTGGGGTATTAGAGCTGTGCCCTAATCAGAGGCAGGCTGTTATATGGTACGAATTTTGTATGCTGCGCTACTCAAACGAGCCCATATTTCGAACTCCGACTTTTGATCCAGGACTTATCCTGCGTAACACTGCAGAAGTATCGAGTTCCGTCAATCAGTTTAGGGAGAACCGGACAAGGTTGCTGCTGAACGATCTTCAGTTCCAAGCTGTTTATGGCAACCCTGTCATGAAGGTTGGTGTAGGGTCTAGGAGTTTTTCAGATTTTACGACACTTTACGGGATGCTGCAGTGCACTCCGGATTTATCCCCGTCGGGTTGCGGCTCTTGCTTGATCCAGGCAGCCCAAGTCTTGAGGGATGATTTTGATGCAAGCGGATTGAGAATACTGTTTCCCAGCTGCTATATTCGGTATGAGACTTATCTCTTCTACAATCAAACCAGGCTTCTCGAACTCCATCTCGTACTGCTGCAGTCGCCCCCATCACCTGCTGCAGGTAAAAATGATTGATTGTTATAATAATTATATTGATAAATCAATTAACAAGAAACTAATCATATATATATACAAGTCTTGCAGGAACGGATGATAAAACAATTAAAATTGCTGTGAGCGTTGTTGTTCCGATTGTGGTGTGTCTATTAATCCTGGCTGCTTTTGCTGTAATCCGCGTGAGAAAAAGAATGAAGCGGAGGAGGCCGCGTAGAATCCCCTTCGAGGGTAATAAATTTGTTTTTTTTCTATAAGATATGTAATTTTCATTCATTTGTATTTTTTTTTTTTTATAATTTTTCAATTATTGATTACTTTTCTTTTTACCTAGCTAGATGGATCAGAAGATAATGATGATATTAGCAGTACTGTTGATTCCTTGCAATACGATTTTGGTAAAATTAGAGACGCAACCAATGATTTTGCCTTTGCAAACAAGCTTGGGCAGGGTGGATTTGGGGCTGTTTATGCGGTAATATTTAAACAGTGATGAATATTTGAACAAGACACAAATGATTACCTGCAGTTTTGGTTTAATTTATTTGACTGATTATATCTTGTTTTAACTCCAGGGGAAACTTCCAGATGGTCAACAAATAGCTGTCAAAAGATTGTCTAGAGATTCAGGGCAAGGCAATTTGGAATTCAACAACGAGGTGTTGCTAGTGGCTAAGCTTCAGCACAGGAATCTGGTTAGACTATTGGGTTTCTCCAGAGAAGGAACCGAGAGGCTTCTAATATATGAATTCGTCGAGAATGCCAGCCTCAACAAGTTCCTCTTTGGTAACTCTGCCTTTTTTTTTTGAGCTTTGATAATTAATTAATGTTATTCTGATCGATTTCTTGATTATTGGATATGTAATACTAGACCCCATCAAACGTTCGTATTTGGATTGGGATACACGCTACAAGATTATAGGGGGTATAGCAAGGGGACTTGTGTACTTGCACGAAGACTCACGACTCAGGATCATTCACCGTGATCTCAAAGCGAGCAATGTACTTTTAGATGGAGAGATGAACCCTAAAATTGCAGATTTTGGCATGGCAAGATTATTCGGACAAGGTGAAACCCTCGGGAACACAAACAGGATTGTCGGAACCTAGTAAGTTCATTTAGACTTTTATACTTGTCATCATAAAACCCTAGTAAGACATTGCAAGAATTCATTTTGAACAACCGTTTACTATATTTAACCTACATTTCTCAGTGGATATATGTCACCTGAATATGCAATGCATGGGGAGTTCTCCGTTAAATCGGATGTGTTTAGCTTCGGAGTCTTAGTTCTGGAAATCATCAGCGGTCAGAAAAATACTTCTATAAGGAATGGGGAGAATGTCGAGAATCTCTTGACTTTTGTAAGCATAGATAGATATGTAGAATAACTAATTTATTTATGTTACTAAATTATATGTAACTAAAGATTTTGCATATTTTTCTCAGATATGGAGAAACTGGCACGAAGGAAGTGCTGAAAATATGATAGATCCCGTCTTGATGACTGGTACGGGTTCATTGGCCGAAATATTGAGATGCATTCACATCGGTTTGTTGAGTGTTCAAGATAATGCTGCTAATAGACCAACAATGACTGCAGTTCTTCTAATGCTCAGTAGCTCCACCGTAACTTTGCCACTACCTTCAAAGCCGTCGTTTTTTATGGCTAGTCATTTTGGTCCAGACACGGTATACGATTCCAAGAAAATTCCTCAGGGTTCATCTGTAAATGATGTCACAGTTACTGAGCTAGATCCACGGTGACGATGTTTGCGAGAATGTACCATCCGTTTCTGCAAGACGTGTTTGTATTTCGTTTATTTTTGCTTGTACTTGTAACTGTATACTATTTAAGGTTTCCGTAAACACTTGTATGTGAAATAATAACCGACTCACCTGGATTTTATGCAATTCGTTGGAAGAAAATTAAAATTATTTTTTCACTTCCAAAAAACTAATAATAAAAAAAAAAAAATTCAATTTCAATCCAATTCTGGAAAAGGAAATGAATTTGCAACAAGAGAGTTTTCGCTGAAACGGTCGCAAGCGCGTGTACCCAAACACGTCGTTATATGTCCACTCAAGTCTCATTCAGTAATAAAATTCCACAAACAGAGTGGAAAGCAAAACCCCACAAAGAAAAAACTTGCAATTCCTATTCTTTTGAATTCTCCACAATTGTGTTTTAGTAGAGATTAAAATTATCAAACAGAATTAAAGAGCTCTATTTAACTATGGAATAAGTTGTAAGTGCAAGAAGCATATGCATAGTTCATAACTAACTATGGGTTTACGAAGAATAATAACACTTGTTTTCACATTCCTCATTTTCGCAAATTTCTTAGCCTCGGTCCAATCAGTCTGCATAAACAACGGCAACTACACCGTTAACAGTACGTACGCCTCCAACCTCGACGCCGTCCTTTCCTCTCTCTACGCAAACATCACCAGCGACGGTTTCCACAACGCCTCCGTCGGTCAAAATCCAGATAGAGCCAACGCCGCCGTGCTCTGCCGGGGCGACGTCGACCTCGACGAGTGCCGCCGATGCCTCCGAGATATCACCACCAAACTTCTCCAATCGTGCCCTAATCAGAAGCAGGCCGTTGACTGGGCCGACGAGTGCATGCTACGGTACTCGAACGAGTCGATGTTCGGAATTCTCCAGACAGTCCCCGGCTTCTGGATGCGGAATCCGAACAACGCGACGAGTCCCGCCCAGTTTAAGGAAGATCTGAGAACGCTCATCGACGATCTGCGAACCAAGGCCGTTGGCGGCGGCGGTATGAGGAAGTTCGCCGCCGGGAATGCCACGGCGCCTGATTTTCAGGACATTTATTCGCTGCTTCAATGCACCCCGGATTTGTCGCCGGAGGATTGTAACAATTGCTTAACTGGCGCTGCTGCAGATATACCCGGATGCTGTGACAATAAGAGAGGGGGCAGAGTTCTCCTGCCAAGCTGCAATCTTCGTTTTGAGATTTACCCCTTCTTTAATCAAACTAGGCTTCAACAACTAGAGCCTGCGCCGGTGCCGGTGCCGGTGCCGGTGCCGACACCCGAGCCTCCAGTACAGTCACCACCAGGTAATTTAAGCTTAGGCTATTCTAATTATGGTTTATTGCATTTTTTTCCTCATAATTATGGTTTATTTCATTTAGCCCCCTGGATTTACTCTAATTAGTAAACAAAATCCCTTGTATTGTAAATATTAGCAAATAACCCCGTTTTTTTTCACAACTATCCTAAACACTCAATATTGAAGGGTTGTGTGCTACAAAAAAAAGGAATCTTAGTCGGGTGTCGACTAATATTTCTAACACGGAATTTTTCTTTTTAGCAATTCGATGTAATGTTAAGGTATAAAATAATTTATAATGAGCCAAAATTTTGCAGGAAAGAATGATGACAATTCATCAAATCGAACCGGTATTATTGTTGCGGTTTCAATTGTTGCATGTGTGATAATAATAGCTGCTTTATTTGGCATGTGTTTAAGAAACAGGATGAGACGTAAACCAAAGGAAAATCCTCAGAGTAAGAGATCTTATTCTTGAAATCTATAATTTTATTTACTGGCTAGTATAATTGCAACACATGTTCAAGTATTTTTTTTGTTTGACTTTAGTTGAAGCTGTAGACGAGACTACTACAGTTGAATCTCTGCAATATGATTTTAGCACGTTGAAAACAGCAACAAATGACTTCTCTGATGATAACAAGTTGGGGCAAGGTGGATTTGGAGCTGTTTATAAGGTAAATTATACTATGATTTCATTATGTTATAAGAACAAAAGCTGATTAACATGGATGAAAACTTACAACTTTTGCCATTTGATTTTAGGGAAAACTTCCAAACAATAAAGAAATAGCGGTGAAAAGATTGTCTAGGAATTCAGGACAGGGTGATGTAGAATTTAAGAATGAGGTCTTATTACTTGCTAAACTTCAACACCGGAATCTTGTCAAACTATTGGGTTTCTCTATACAAGGAAACGAAAAGCTCATCGTGTATGAATTTGTTCATAATGGAAGCCTTGATCACTTTATGTTAGGTAACATTTATGTCTTTTGTAGTAGTTATAAAATAAAATCGTTAATATTGGTACACATTTTTGTTGTGATTTTGATTTTAACCCAATTAAATTGAACGTGTAGACACAACAAAGCGTTTGTGTTTGGATTGGGATAGACGGTATAAAATCATAAAGGGTATTGCCAGGGGACTTTTATACTTGCATGAAGATTCTCAGCTTAGGATTATTCACCGAGATCTCAAACCTGGTAATATACTCTTAGATAGAGAGATGAATCCCAAAATTGCAGATTTTGGGTTGGCGAGGTTATTTGGACAAGACGAAACTCAAGGAAATACAAACATGATTGCTGGAACTTAGTAAGTACTTATATTTTGCATATCAGACAATAAAACTTGGTAAGAGCAAGTATTGATTATTGTTGTAAGAGACTTAAAAAGATACATGCATTGCAGTGGATTTATGGCACCAGAATACGCAGTTTGCGGGCATTTTTCTGTTAAATCTGACGTGTACAGCTTCGGAGTACTACTCTTGGAGATCATCAGCGGACGAAAAATCAACAGTTTTCGAGATGAAGAGGATATTGTAGAGGACCTCTTGATTATCGTAAGTATAAGTTGAATCATGTTATTTATTTCTCTTTGAAGCCCACTTTGAATAACGATTAATATTATAAACAAGCGTTATATGATAAATAAATAAATAAATGTTGCAGGCGTGGAGAAATTGGCGGGAAGGAACGAGTCGAAATATGGTGGACCCCTTGTTGTTGGGGTCCGGTTCAGGTTCGATGAGCGACATATTGAGATGCATTCACATTGGTTTATTGTGTGTTCAACAAAAGGCAGCCGATAGGCCAACCATGGCTTCAGTTATTATTATGCTTAGTAGTGTTTCCATGTCTATGGCGGTGCCTTCCGAGCCTTCGTTGTATATGGTCAGCGATTATGAGTCGGAGTACAGCTCGAGAGACCATGATCGGTACAACACCAACAACAACCATAATATCAATAGCAATCAACCGAAGATTAATTATGGTGATACACCAATCGTTGAATCTGACGACTCGTCCAAAAATGATGTATCAATCACTGAGTTTTATCCTCGATAATTTAATTTTCGGTAGCACAGATTTGTTCATAGAATTGAGTAGCAGAGCTATGAACAAGTCTTCTTTTTTACATTTGTGATTGTTTATAATAATTATTTGAACAAAACAAAACAAACTAGATGTATTTTATTTTGAGCTTATTGCATTCGACTCCCTTGTTTAGTATCAAAGTACGAAAAACATCCTTCTATTACTTTAGTGTGCAAACAACTCCCATTGTAATGTAAAGTTAAATGCGATTTTTTTTTTTATTTAGAGGTCATCGTATCGTATTACTCACTCACAAATTGTAAAATTTATATGGTAATTTAGGAATAAAACGACATTAATATCCTTTAATTGATTTGATTAATATTTCAGCTTTAATTCTGAATAATCCTACTATTCAGGACAAAGTTGCAATTTCTATAATTCCTTAAAAAAACACTAGTAATGATCCCTATACTTTTCCTTTAATTATTTTCCACCGCCTAATAAATAATAATATGTGATTTAACGATCATGCATTTAATTAATATGTGCTCCGAAGTCAAGTCTCGTACGTACGTCATCGGCGTAGAAAATAGATTGCTGTGGAAATTTCCGTCGTCTCTGTTGCTTCCTTTGTCGTAATTGAGTCCTGTCTTAATCTTTCCAAATTAATTAATTACGTAACCTCATTTCTGAAAAATCAACGGTTCCAAGTATATGGCCTTATCTCTCAGTCCAGGAAATTTCCCTTGGTGACTTTTTTTTTTTTTTTGGGGGGGGTAAATAAAAATAATTTTCAAGACTTGAAGTCTCTGTGTGCAAAAGTCTGGTGAACTAAACTAATCCAATGAATTAATAAGAGAGAGAGAGAGAGAGAGAGATGTAGTGAGATGAACAAAAATAAAAGGAGTAAATTAATTAATGAGGAGATCGAAACGACGTCGTTTTAGTGGCACTCCTGTCTCTTTCATATTATCTCATCGCACATTAAATTCCGAACGGAAGCAAAGACTGAAACGCTGACTAGTCTAATTCCCAGGACCGAGTCAACCCATAGGAAAAATCTGCCGTACAGCTTGTTGTGCTTCAAACTTCACCTGTATCACGCAATTTATTCACAGTTTTACATACATCAAATAAATAGTAAATCGTAATTTTGGGCAGACATTTCTTCAATATAAACATAGACTAGTTTCTTCATCATCGTTTCTTATTCTCCCCCCCCAAAAAAAAAAAAATAGAAGACAGAAAACAGAAATCATTTCCAGTTATGAGTTTTAAGAGCTGGAAAATAACGTTGTCTAAAATTCTGCTACTCGTGTTTTTTATTACAAAAATAGCCTTTGTCGGAGCCCAGGATCAACCTCCGTACGTTTGTCTAAACAACGGAAATTACACAGTTAACAGCACATACAGCACGAATCTCAACACCCTACTCTCATCTCTCTCCTCAAACATCGCCGACAATGGATTCTACAACGCCTCTGTCGGGCGGAACCCAGACACGGCCAACGCCCTTGTCCTCTGCAGAACCGACAGAACCCTCGACCAGTGCCGCACGTGCGTACAAAACGCCGCCGTTGGGGTATTGGAGGTGTGCCCTAATCGGAGGCAGGCTGTTATATGGTACGAATTCTGCATGCTGCGCTACTCAAACGAGCCCATATTTCGAACTCCGACTTTCGATCCAGGACTTATCCTGCGTAACACTGCAGACGTATCGAGTTCCGTCGTCGATCAGTTTAGGGAGAACCGGACGAGACTGGTGGCAGATCTTCGGGTTCGGGCGGCTAACGGCAGCTCAGCCGTGAAGGGTGGTGCAGGGAGTAGGAATACATCGAATTCCGAAACGCTTCATATGCTGGTTCAGTGCACCCCGGATTTGTCATCGGAGGATTGTAATGATTGCTTGAACCGGGCGGCTCAACCTATCGGAAGTTCTAGTGCGAGAGGAATGAGACTGCTGTTTCCCAGCTGCAATATTCGGTATGAGCTTTACTCCTTCTACAATGAAACCAGGCTCCGCCAAATCCAGGCACTATTGCCGCCGCCGCCGCCGTCACCACCTTCTCCACCGGCAGGTAACGTATATATATCATGATACGTAATCCTTTGATCCTGTTTGATTTTTTTAGTAACGATTAAATATTGCATTAGATCAATTTATTTTAAAATTAAATAAATGAAGCATATAAAATATGTTATTGATGTTGTCACGAATTTACTTACGTCGATCGCTACTATATTAGGACTAGTGCATATGCAATTAGGGTTTATTTATAATTGGAAGTATGTGGATTTTTCTTCCAACGACCTTTCTTATATTTCGGCGTACACGAAAAATGCCAAAGTGATGATGATACAAATGTCAAAAATAATTATTTTCCGAAAAATATATTTTCGGAAATTAGAAATAATAACAGAAAAGAAAGAATTGTGTTTGTGGTCGTTATAGTTAAGAAAATTAATATTTATATCCATAAAATGCTAATGAATATTTATTGCAGGAACGAATAACGATACCACAGGAGGAAACGGAACGAATAACGACAGTACAAGAGGAAAGAAAGATGATAACACAACTAAAATTGTTATCAGCATTGTCGTTCCAGTTGTCGTGTGTTTAATCGTGGCTGCTTTTGCTGTAATCTGCGTGAGAAAGAGAATGAAAAGGAGGGCACGACAGAGAATCCCCTCCGATGGTACGATTTTTTTTTAGGATATAAACTTTTCGTGTATCGTAATTTTTTCTATTATTGTTTTAACTTTATAGCATGAACTTATTTTTACTAGATGTAGAAGATAACGGTGATATTAGCACCGTTGAATCACTCCAACACGACTTTGGCAAAATTAGAGACGCAACCAATGATTTCGACGATGCTAACAAGCTCGGGCAAGGTGGATTTGGAGCTGTTTATATGGTAATTATATTGTACATAATATTGCAATATATACCAACAAACACTAGTTACCAATTTAATCATTTGCTTATACCTTAATATTAACTTCAGGGAAGACTTCGAAACGGTGAAGAAATAGCTGTTAAAAGATTGTCTAAAGATTCAGGGCAAGGCAATGTGGAGTTCAAGAACGAGGTGTTGTTACTTGCTAAGCTTCAACATAGGAATTTGGTCAGACTATTGGGTTTCTCTATCGAAGGAACCGAAAGGCTTCTAATATACGAATACGTCGAGAATGCCAGTTTAGACCAGTTCATTTTTGGTAAGAACAACTCTGCTTTTTATTACATCAATTACTCAATCTAATTTAGTATACTAATGACAATTTTGAGCTCTAACAATTAATTAATGTTCTTTTATATCACTTTCTTGATTACTGGATAATACTAGACCCGGTCAAACGTTCGATCTTGGATTGGGATAAACGCTACAAGATTATAGGGGGTATAGCAAGGGGGCTTGTGTACTTGCACGAAGACTCTCGACTCAGGATTATTCACCGTGATCTAAAAGCCAGTAATATACTCTTGGATGGGGAGATGAACCCTAAAATCGCAGATTTTGGCATGGCGAGATTGTTTGGACAAGATGAAACTCAGGGAAACACAAGCAAGATTGTCGGAACTTAGTAAGTGTTACTACATACTTGTATTATTAACTGCAAAAATAAACATTCTAAGCCGAGAAAAGTATTCTTAATTAACCTATGTTGTTGCAGTGGATATATGTCGCCTGAATATGCAATGCATGGGCATTTCTCCGTTAAGTCAGATGTGTTTAGCTTCGGAGTTTTAGTCCTGGAAATAATGAGCGGTCAGAAAAATAATTCTATCAGAAATGGGGACAATGTGGAGGATCTCTTGACTTTTGTAAGTAATTAATTACTTAGAGATGCCTTAAATTTGAAGCCAAATATTAATCAATCTGGTCAAATTGGAATATAATCCATGTGTATTTTCAGACGTGGAAGAATTGGAGGGAAGGAACAGCGGAGAATATTATAGACCCTGTCCTGAGAACAGCTGGCACGGGCTCGTTACGTGACATGATAAAGTGCATACACATTGGTTTGTTGTGCGTGCAAGAAAATGCAGCTAACAGACCAACAATGGCTTCGATTCTCGTAATGCTGAGTAGCTCAACCATGACTCTGCCTGTACCTTCTGAGCCTGCGTTTTTTATGGCTAGTCGTTTTGGTCCGAACACTTTACTCTTTCGTAACTACGATGATTCGAACTCGTCGGATGTTAGCAAAGGATTGAAGGCCAGAACAGCTATGTCTGAAGGCTCGTCTGTAAATGATGTGACAGTTACCGAGTTAGATCCTCGGTGATTTTGGAATATTTTCTTATTGTGATAAGATTGGTTTGTATTATGTTGGTTGTGGGTTTTGAACTACGCATATAGGCTATATTTGAATCGCGGTTTCGTTTCGTTTTTTATGTTGTGTGTGTTAATATTTCTGAAATAAAGCTGTGAACTACACAATAATCTTGATTTCAAGGCTTACCACAATAAGTTTTGTCTTTCATTCTAATTACCTGGAGAAAATTTGCAAGCAGTTGTAGAACTATGTGGTAACACCAATTGCACAATGGAGATCTAAGAAAATTGCAATTTTATTTATTTATTTATTTTAAATTGTTCTCATTGTAGTGACCAAATGAGACCATTGAAACATTTGAAAATTGAAGGGAAATAAATATTGATAGATTAAGTTCAGAGAAGCAACTTAAAGAATGGGGTTAGCAACTGCTACCAGTTACAACATTGTGAATATTTTTGGCTGTTTTGGTGGTGGAAGGAGAAGATTAGAGAAAAGCCAATATTGCTGTAATGAAAATGGTTATGGCCATGGATAATCGTCCTGACAAACCTCTGTTTGCTGCTCCTCTTAGTCCTACAAATATACACACAAAACTTGATTATGTTTGGCCCAACTGAAAATTGTTTCAGATAATAATATTGGGCTGCAGAGAAAAATAAAAAGTATCATTAAATATTGTGGCTGCTGAAATTCGAGCACAGGTCTCCATGGGCACAACGTGGAATCCTCACCACTAAACTACGGCCACTTTTGTTAAAAATGATTGAAGTAAAATATAGTTATACGTACCCTCTTCGGCAGTAAGGTTAAAGTAGAAACGAGTATTATCGTACATCATGAAACAGCCCCTCCCATTGATTTCACGACTCCGATCGTCGGAAACGTTTCTCCCAAAGCCCTCAACCAACCACTCCAAACAATCCCTACATTCCGACTTTCCCAAGTCTCTGGTGCACTGGGCCGTCCCATACCTCTTCCCGCCAAGGCCGTCATCGATCTCTCCCTTCGCGAACATCAAACTATCTCCGGGAGCCGCCTCCGCCAGCCCCATCATCAACATCTTCCCCTTTGCCGCCGCCACCGACTGCTCTACCAAACTCGCACGGTTCGATCGATATACAGTTAAACTGCTTTTCTCCCAAGTCCCGTAGAAGCTCACGTTCGAATACCTGAGCAAACACCACCTACTCTGCCAGATCAGGACTCTTTCGCCACACCAATGGAACGACTCTCTGGTGCAGTTATTGCAGTTAGACTTGGAAATATCGCCTCTGCACTGTATGAGTCCGTACACTTTGTCCGGACCTTTTTCCCCCGCCTCCGCTCTGTAATAGCCGTTGTTCAGGATCACGTTTGCTTCCAGTTTGCTGAACATGCTGTTTACATTTTCCGTCCACGTGGTTGAACTTTTAGCTTCTGACGAATTCGAGCACATAACACCCGCAAGTTCGTTGGTATCTGCATAGCAATGACGACACAAGAACAACGGTAGGAAAATCATTATCAATGACGACGCTGAACTTAATTTAGAGGCCATCTCTCTCTCTCTCTCTCTCTCTCTCTCTCTCTCTCTCTATAATAATAATAATACCCTTGGTTCTTATAATGTTGAGTTTTATAATGTTCATAATAGTTAATTAGTGTGAAGATTTGGTGGTTGCGAAGGGGTTTGAGTTGATAAATTCCACGCGTAGTGTGCAAAGTGTTGCAACTCCAAGATTCGTACGAATGTACTGTTTTTACCTGGTTGGTTTATCAGTTTAAAACATGGGATAATTAGTAAAAACCCCCCAATACATTAACATATATTAGGATGGATATACTCTCATTTTACATATTAGTGAAAACCCCCCCTTTTGATATATTAACTTACCATAAATTATATTTACATGTACTTACCTTCTGCAGCACTAGTGTTCAAGTACAAATGTTGTTATACACAGACCATGTATGTACCTAATCTTGGTCCTTGAACCAGTTTTACGAGAGACTGACTTGCGTACACCTAAACAAAACGTTTTAAAATCGAGAGGAAATTAATATTTCCTTCACTTTCGAGCAAAGTAAAATAGAATTGTTAGAATCCTATGGATTCTAATTGTACGAGAATTAATAAAACTTGTGCCACAAGTTTTCATATACCATGAGCTAAAGAAGGGAAGAGTCCTTGTAACTTTTAATTCTTTTAATTTGTCATTAATTGATTTATAATAGGAATTATTCTTCTAAAGAGTTTCCTTGTTTTGAAAATATTATTTCCTACGTAATTAAGAGTTTCCTAACCCTAATGGACTCTTTTTTCCTTGTAGGATTCTTATAACATGTAGAAGCATAAATACAGCAATACGGCGCCTCAGATCTCACGTCTTCTTTGAGAGAAAAATTTACGTAGAATATTTTCTTTACTCTCGTTTTTATTGGCGTCGTTTTTGGAGAGAAGCCGATCTCCCTTTTCTTGGTTGCTGTAGCACGCCTTTTGTTGGAGAAGAAAAATTATATTTTTCCGCTCTTATATTTGCTGCTCCTGGAGCGTCTTGTTAATCGAGAGAAGATTTCAGAGAATTTTTTTTTTCTCTCTCGTTTTTATTGCTCCATCGTGATACGTGATTTTCATAGAAAATATACCGGCTTCAAGGCTTTGTGGTGAAGACACAGATTCAAGGAGAATCACAAGTTTGCTTCTTCTATACAAAAAGAAGATCGGTTCTTCGGGAGAGGGGCTTAAACAGATCTCGGGAGGAGATCGATCCGCCGACTGAGGGATTCAGCGTTGAAGGGAGTTCAACCGTGCGGAGCAAGGGACGTGCTGCAATTGAAGATTTATAATTCAGCGTAGTATACAAGAACGGCGTCAACAAAGAGGGAGTCTTTGTATTTTGATTAAGTCCTATTATTGTATTCGTAAAACTAAAAATTAGTAAATTTTATTTGCAGGTCCCCGTGGATGTAGGGTACAGTTGTATCCGAACCACATTAAATTTGTGTCTCGTTTATTTCTGTTTTTACAAACTGTTTCACGAACTGTTGCAACTCTTCACGCAACAGTAACGAAAAACTGAATCTGACACAAATAATTTATATCTGCACGAAATAAATTCTAACAAGAATATATTGATAGATTGAGTTTACAGAAGCAAACTTAAGTAATAGGGCTAACACCTATATATTATCACAATCTGGAATAAAACTTAATGCTAATTATAATGAAATAATACAACAACTGTTCAGACCCTGATTCTTTAATAAAGAGTTATTATTAATGTTTGAATATGTTTGTCTTTTCTGGTGGTGGAAGAAGAGATTACAGAAACGCCATTGTTGTCATCAAAATGGTTATGGTCGTCCCTAATCGTCCTGCCAAAGCTCTGTTTGCTGCATCCCTAACAGCGCATGCTTCAGCAACTAGGGCATCCAAGCAAATGTGAAGGTTTGAGCCATGAAAACCTCTTTATAATGCTGTTTTTTTATTACACAATCCCCTAAAATTTGAGTTTTTAGGGGTAATTAGTTTGCAAAAAAAGAAAAAGAATTGAATTACATGGCTTCTATGAATTAGAAAGTATACAATGCTGTTGAATAAGTTGTATTGTGGCAAATGAAGCACAGTAATTTTGACCTAAATTATATGTTAAACTATAATAAAGAACAAAGGATTAAAAAGCCCACACGTACGTATAGCATCATCATTTCTCTTTTATGGAGTATGATTCAAGTAAAAGAAAAAAGAACCGTATGATTGAAAATATAACAATAATTACATGCACGTTGACTAGCGAATTGATATCCTAATGAGTAAATTGCAGTTAGTACCCTGTACAATTTCGATCTTTACATACAGTCCCCACATTATAAAAACTAGCCCAAAAACTCCTTGCGGTGTTTCTGTCAGCCTGTCTTTCGACAATCGGTCGACGGCTAAGTTGGAAAGGGTAAATTGGAAATGGATCAAGTGTGCTATATAAAAAAAAAACAGTTAATTAAATAGGGTACTAATTGCAATTCACCATTAATTATCTATCTCAAACTTGAAGATAAACCTGTTTGGTATGAGTTGTCAAAGAATTCTACTCATATTCCTGATACTGAGAAACCGTTTAGCCTCGGGTACTTCTGTGTGCAGTAACAATGGCAACTACACCAGTAATAGCATGTACAAGGCCAACCTCAACACAGTCCTCCTCACATATATCCCGATAAACTTCAACAGCACCATCGGTTTCTACAGCACCTCCGCGGGTCAAACACCTGACAAAGTCAACGCCTTAGTTCTCTGCAGAAGCGATGTTCATTACAGCACATGTGTTGAGTGCATCAGAAACGCGACTGACGAGCTTCTGCAGACATGCCCCAACCAAAAACAAGCGATTTGCTGGCACGAGGTCTGCATGTTAAGGTATTCAGACAAGGATATCTATGGAACCCTGGAGGCTGGGTTTGGATATTATTGGGTAACACAATATGTGAATGTTACGAGCCCTGTTAGTTTTAAGCAGAGTCTCGGGACGCTTTTGGACGGTCTCCAGTACCAGGCCGCTAATGGCGGTTCTCTGAGGAAGATTGCAGCTGGGAATGCAACCGCCCCCGATTTTCAGACCATATACTCGTTGGTTCAGTGCACCCCTGATTTGTCTGCATATGACTGCATCACTTGCTTAATAAGACTCAGAGATCTACAGTCTTACTTCAACGGGTTTAAAGGTGTTGGGGTTGCCTTTCCTAGCTGCACCGTTCGTTACGAGACTAATTATCACTTCTATAATGAAACCAGGCTTCAAGAACTACAGCTTGTGTCACTCCCTCCAGTACCACTACCTCCGCCACCACCACCACTGACACCGCCACCACCACCGACATCGACACCGACACCGACACCTGGTAACCACTCTCTTCAAAGGTTATCTAAGGAAAAGGGTGAATTAAAAAAAAAAAAAAACAAAAAAAAAACAAAAAAAAAAAAGAGGCCGAGAAGTGGATTATGTTTACATGAATTACAAGTTGTTCCTTAATTTTGTGCAGGAACAAGAGTTAAAACTATCCTTATTATTGTGGGTTCGATTGTCGCGTTTGGTGCATTTGTTCCGTTTGTACTATACTTCTTAAGAAAGAAAATAAGACAGAAACCAAAGGAAGAGCTTCTGAGTAAGTACTCGCGCGTACTCTTTTAGCCTTTTCTGAAAGTATATATAATATAATATAATCGCAATTCGTAGCACATATTCAGGTTATACTGTAACCTTTTGTTGAATTTATAGACGAGATTGAGACTGCGACAGCGGAATCTCTGCACTTTGATTTTAGCACAATCAGAGCAGCAACACATGATTTCTCTGATGATAGCAAGCTGGGGCAGGGTGGCTTTGGAGCTGTTTATAAGGTAAGTTTATATTTGATTTCATTTTTTGGGTAATATAATTAGAACAAAAGTTGATTGATATGATTATCACGTTAATTTATAACAGCTTTGAAGTGTATATGAACAAAAATACTAAATATTGTTCTGATTTAAATCCAGGGAAAGCTCCCTAACAATCGGGAAATAGCGGTGAAAAGATTATCCATTGATTCAAGGCAGGGCGACCGGGAATTTAAGAATGAGGTCGTATTACTTGCTAACCTTCAACATAGGAATCTGGTTAAACTCTTGGGTTTCTCTATACAAGGAACGGAAAAGCTTATCATATATGAATTTCTTCACAATGGAAGCCTAAATAACTTTATATTTGGTAAGCGCTTTTTTTCTTATTTTAATTTATAAAATGAGTATATAGTGATCATTATTGCTAATTGTGTTGCACATTTTAGTACTTATGGCTGCTAGCTAGATAAAATTTGTGATTGGGATTTAACCTTGATGTGTATTTTAATTGGACTATAATATTGTTTGTAGACCCAATCAAGCGTTTGAGTTTGGATTGGGGTAGACGCTACAAAATCGTAGAGGGTATTGCCAGAGGAATACAATACTTGCATGAAGATTCTGGATTCAGGATTATTCATCGTGATCTCAAAACTGATAAATGTACTCTTGGATGCGGAGATGAATTCTAAAATTACCGATTTTGGCCTAGCAAGATTACTTGAACAAGATGAAAGTCGAGTTGATACGAGCAAGATTGTCGGAACTCGGTAAATGCATATCATACTAATTGAATTGAATTGAACTGCAAAATTAAAACTTTCTAATAAGCTGAGAAAGTATTCTAATAAGCCGCGTTGCAGGGGATATATCCCACCTGAATATGCAACGCATGGGCAATTCTCTTTTAAGTCAGACGTGTTTAGCTTCGGAGTGATAGTCCTGGAAGTCATCAGCGGTCAAAGGTCTAAATCTATAAAAGATGGGGAGAATGTGGACCTCGTGTCTTGTGTAAGTATACACCTATATATATATATATACATATATATCATGAAGATTAACTTATAATGATTCCTTAGTTTGTTAAATGAAGCTAATTAATATATCTCGAATTGTCGTATTTTGTGTGTTTCAGGCATGGAAAAATTGGCGGGAAGGAACACCTGAGAAGATCATAGATCCTGAGTTGAGAGCAACAAACACGTTTTCCTTACAGAAGGACATATTGAGATGCATTCACATTGGTTTGTTGTGTATTCAAGAAAATGTTGCTAATAGACCGACAATGCGTAAAATTATTCAAATGCTCGACAACCCCAACACGACCTTGCCGATACCTGAAGACCCTGCATTAGCTATGGCTAAACGCTTTGGTTCGAAGATTTTATTATTATCTGATCAAGATAGTAATCGTGTTTCGAACGTGTAGGGACGACAGCTCTATCTCAGGGTGTATTTGAGTTGAAGGATTTGACATGTCACGTGCATAAAGTTTTTCTCCGACGTCTAAGTTCTATCCTCTGCAATAAGCAAAAATTTGTCATCCATTGATGATGTGATTCTATGTATAATGTATATATCGCTGGTTTTCGCTTTAGAACTATTCAGATTGCCTGCATTCTATTTTGCTGCTTTAAAAAAAAAATCTATATTTGTGTGTTAATAGTTGTGAAATAAAGCTGTAAGTAATGTCATGAATAGACGGTGTACCTAAGCATGAAACAGTTGTGACCGTTTGTTTGTATCAATTTGAAGACCCTTTTCCACCATGTTTGTGACAGCGTTATGTGTTTAAACTAGAAGCACAAAGAGATCATCTGCAAAATAAGCAAACCAAAAGATGTTTATGTGGTATTTACCTAATTAATAAGTAGCTAATTATTTGTAATTAAAACAATAATGAATACTACCAAAAAATAATGATTGGCTGCGGGTTCCTGCATTACCAAAAAAAAAAAAAAAAAAAAAAAAAAAAAAAAAAAAAAATAATGAATACTACCTGGTCTAATAAAACATATTTTCCTATTAAAAAATGCATAATTGCATTACTTGACTTTGTTTTATTATTGATTTCAGTTCCAATCGTTGAGTTTTTTTTTTCCGAAAATAACATGTTGGTGTTATATTTAACATCTTATTTTCAAATTTGATTTGATTGATCAATAAAATAAACATTACTTATAATACACACTTTTATTATGTTTTAATATTGTCATGATTGTTACGTCGCAAATTAAATTGAGGAATGTTATGCTAATTTTACAAATTGTAAATCATACCAGTTTTACTAAAATCGTTATATTTGTTTATCAAATATATTTGGAACATTATAAAGAGGGTCTTGGATAGGCTTAAGAGATACATTTTTGCCAAAAAAAAAAATATTAATACAACATCACAGGAAGTATTTTAGTATATTGTGGTGTTTGATTAGCATGTCGTTCGACATGGTAATTTCGTTGCATTACGAACGGGGTTGAAGGCGAACGGTCCATGTTATCAAAAAATAAATATGATCATATTACATATATAAATGTCTTTAATGAATTTGTGTTTCGTGTTAGCAAGGGTTTCATGAACTGATCAAGTCCCGGCCTGTGTCACAATAAGGTGTCAAGTAGACTTCTTTTGGTAGATTAATCGTAACCAATTTTAATATTTTCTGATTTTTTATTTCTTTTTTACAAAATAATACAATTCTAATTAAATTCATTAGTTTAATGTAAGTATTAAATTTATTATATTTTATATATTTTATTAATTAGTATTTGATATACCTAAATGGGCCGGCCCAATGGGCCCTCATATTTATCTACCAATTATTACACGAAAGCCCAAGCTTCTTCAAAGTAAGGCTTGGGCCCAACAAAGTAAGCCCAACCCATTCAACGATATATAAATAGATGTTTTACTCATTCGTAAAGGTACGTTCTCATTATTGACAATTCACCTCAAATTTTATTCTCTCTACTCTCTCTACGATCCATACATCTGACTTGAGCGTCGGAGGGGTTTCCGCCGGATCAACCCCCGGCTTAGTTCACGTGTACTCTTTTCGCAGGGACCTCAGGATCATCGAGTTGACTAGCTACTGATCAGTTTTGCTCTCCCAGCTCGTTTTCTATAATACCTTAGGTGAGCTAAACTTTAGCATCATCAGTATTAAATTAATCATTGCATATTTTTATCTAATTAACACACTAAAATAATGTACAATTTTAGAAACATGTAGACAAAAACAAAAGGAGTTTTAGAAAATAAAAGAGTTATACAAAATAAATATGTCCAATAGTAAAAACAAAATGAGTACAACGACAAAATGAGTACAACGAGAAAATGAAACCATTGAAACATTTGAAAAGTGAAGGGAAATAAATATTGATAGATTAAGTTCACAGAAGCAAATTAAATTAAGAATGTGGCTAACAACTGCTACCACATTGTGAATATTTTTGGGTGTTTTGGTGGTGGAAGGAGAAGCTTAGAGAAACGCCATTGTTGTCATGAAAATGGTTATGGCCATCGATAATCGTCCTGCCAAACCTCGGTTTGGTGCATTTGATTTGGGAGGTGCTGCTGGATTTGATTTGGGAGGTGCCGGCTTTCCTAGTCCTACAAATATACAGACAAAACTTGATTAAGTTTGGCCCAACTGAAAATTGTTTTAGAAATGCAAGATATTAATATTGGGCTGCCAAAATATTTGGCCTGCCTTTTTCGTGATAGCCCAGAGAAAATAATAAAAAATAAAAAAGATTATCATCCGTTGTGTTAATTATACTTACCCTCTTCGGCAGTAAGGTTAAAGTAGAAACTAGTATTATCGTAGATCATGAAACAGCCCACCCCATTGATTGTACGACTCCGATCGTCGGAAACGTTTCTCGCAAAGCCCTCAACCAACCACTCCAAACAATCCCTACATGCCGACTTTCCCAAGTCTCTGGTGCACTGGGCCGTCCCATACCTCTTCCCGCCAAGGCCGTCATCGATCTCTCCCTTCGCGAACATCAAACTATCTCCGGGAGCCGCCTCCGCCAGCCCCATCATCAACATCTTCCCCTTTGCCGCCGCCACCGACTGCTCTACCAAACTCGCACGGTTCGATTGAGATACAGTTAAACTGTTTTTCTCCCAAGTCCCGAAGAAGCTCACGTTCGAATACCTGAGCAAACACCAGGTCTGCCAGGTCAGGACTCCTTTGCCACACGAGGGGTCGTTGACATTCAAAATGAACGACCGTCTGGTGCAGTTAGTGCAGTTAGACTTTGAAACATCGCCTCTGCACTGTATGAGTCCGTACGCTCTATCGGGACCTTTTTCCCCTGCCTCCGCTATGTAATAGCCGTTGTTCAGGATCACGTTTTCTTCCAGCTTTCTGAACATGCTGTTTCGATTTTCCGTCCACGTGGAAGATTTATTAGCTTTTGACGAATCCACGTAGCACGAATAACCCACATGTTCGTTGGTATCTGCATAGCAATGACGACACAAGAAAAATGGTAGTAAAATCATTATCAATGACGACGCTGAACTGAATTTAAAGGCCATCTCTCTCTCTCTCTCTCTCTCTCTCTCTCTCTCTCTCTCTCTCTCTCTCTCTCTCTCTCTCTCTCTCTCTCTCTCTCTCTCTCTCTCTCTCTCTCTCTCTCTAATAATAATAATACCCCTGGTTCTTATAATTAATGTTGAGTTTTATAATGTTCATATAAGTTAGTGTGAAGATTTGGTGGTTGCGAAGGGGTTTGAGTTGATAAATTCCACGCGTAGTGTGCAAAGTGTTGCAACTCCAAGATCCAGTCCCACTGACTATTATTCGTACGAATGTACTGTTTTTACCTGGTTGGTTTATCAGTTTAAAACATTGTCAAGTGGTCCCACTATAACTTTTTTTTTTCCGCAAGTCAACCCTCGGCCAAACGTGGTTGACTATTTGAGTAATGGGCTATTTGTATCTTTTGTTTTAATGGACTACTTGAGTCTGTTGGGCTTACAGATCATATATTTAGATCGAGTTTACATAATTGCAACTCAAGAAATAGAGTTAACTACTATCACAATTCACAGTATAATGTGGGGATAATTACAGTTTTAGTCCCCCAAGTTTGCACGTTTTTTAGTTTTGGTCCCCCATTTACCGCCGTCAACAAAATACACACTAATGTTGTCAAATTTTAACACATTTAGTCCCTCCGTCTGTTTGACCGTTAAGTAGTAACGGTCAACTGTTGAATTAGGGCTGAATTTGGGATTTTTCATAGATAAAAATTGCACTCAGACCCCTGCATTCTTTTAAAATATTCTAAAACCCCCTAAAATTTTACCCAACCATAATTTAACTCCAATTTCATCATTTAATCAATTTTGACAAACGACCCCAATTTTTACACCATTACCGTTGTCCCTTGACCGCCGTTGATTATTTTTTTTTTTTTGTAATTTTTTTTTCGGCATTGAGTTATTTTATTTAAAATTGATTTTGACGCCGTTCACCGACATTGTATTCTCGGTTAATAATGTTGATTTTTTTTATTTTTCTTGATTTTTTACGAACTTTTTCCTTTGACTTTTTTTTCCGATCAACACAATTATAACTCAATAATAATACTATAGTAATATCTAGTATCGTAATATTAAAATTACAAACTTCTAAGAAAGTTTTTATCTAAAATTTTAGGGCCTAAATACAATTTTAAAAAAATTCTAAAATCCATAATTTCTTCCCCTCAAATTTTTCTTCGTGGAACCGCCAGTGCATCTCAATTTCTTCCCAAGAAAATATGAAGAAGATGAATTAGGCATGTGCGGAGTAATTTGTAATGAGAAAACCACTCTATTACAACGGTTTTTGGGGCTAATTAACACCGGCCGTTAATTTTTATCTCTTTTTTTTTGTCTTAAAATTTTTCCGTCATTGAGACGCGTTGACTTTTTCATTTTTATGATATTATTTTCTCGCCGATTATCAGTTTTTGATTTTTTTAATTATATTTTTCCATAACTGAACAATTGAAATAAAATCAAGAAAGAAAATGTCAACGCTGTTGAGCCGACATTCAACATCGGTCAACAACGGGAAAAAATATCAATCGACAAAAGAGTCAACCGAGTTAAAAAGAAAGTCAACGTCGGATTACCCAATTTTGAGAAATCGGGGTTATTGGTTAAAATTGGTTAATTGATGAAATAGGGGTTAAATTATGGTTGAATAAAATTTTAGAGGTTTTTATAATATTTTGAAAGAATACAGGGGTCTTATTGCAATTTTCTCAAAGAAAAACCCCAAATTCAACCGTTGACCGTTACTACTTAACGGTCAAACAGACGGAGGGACTAAATGTGTTAAAATGTGACAACATTAGTGTGTATTTTGTTGACGGCGGTAAATGGGGGACCAAAAGTGAAAAACATGCAAACTTGGGGGACCAAAACTGTAATTATCCCGTATAATGTGCAATCAAACTTTAGTGCAAATAAATAAATAATACAACAGTCATTAATAAAGATTTATTAATGTTTGAATCTTTTTGTCTCTATTTGCTGCATGGTATATACAGATACAAATATACAGACAAAATTAGTTGGCCAACTGTATCATGTTTCAGAAATCAAGAAATGATAATGGGCTGCCTATTTGGTGATAGCCCAGAGAAAAAATTAAAAAGTTTTCTTTTGTGGCTGCTTATGTTTCAAGCCCAAGAATTTGGTGAGGCCCATAGGAACAATAAAGTTAAAGCCCAGAAATTTGGTGAAGCCCAGAGGGGAATTTGGTGAGGCCCAGAGGAACAATAAAATTGAAAAAAAAAAAAAAAAAAAATTGTCAGTTGCTGGGGCTCGAACCCTGGTTTCCAGGGCCACAACGCGGTATTCTCATTGGTTTGTTGCGTGTGCAAGAAAATGCAGCTAACAGACCAACAATGGCTTCAAAGTGTGTTATGGCTAGTCGTTTCAGTCCAGACACTTTACTCTTTCGTAACTACGATGATTCGAACTCGTCGGATGCTGGCAAAGGACTGAAGGCCACGACAGCTACTTCAGAAGGCTCGTCTTTAAATGATGTGACAATCTATCATTGAGTTAGATCCTCGGTGAATTGCAAGAGTTTGACATTCTTCATCACCGAAATATGCGTGTTTTACCAACCCTCATTAGGAGAGTTGGTACCTAGCCTTTACTAATACGGTAAAGGTCTAGGGTTCGAGTCCCCCCCTCCCCTACTTCCCCTTGTAATGGACTTGAATTTACTCAAAAAAAAAAAAATATGCGTGTTTAATTTGTATTCCGCCGGTTTTATTTAGAACTATGTTTTGAATATTTTTTTATATTCCATTGCAGGATGGTATGAAAGAAATATAACTACTCAATAATAGTGCAAGCAATTAGGAAAAATTAGGTAATTAGGAGTCGTGCAAATATATATAAGCAAAAATTCTAATAATTCTTAGCGGAATTTTGACACACAGTTTAATTTGTCACCAAGAGATTTTGATTGGCGAAACAAAAAACAGATTTACCTGGACGTTGACTAGTGAATTGAATACCAACTCACCTGGATGTTCAACTGTTAGATGATGACTGATGAGGTTAACCACTAAAAAATATGTTTAATATATACTAAATGATAAGGACTGAACTCGCAATCTTATAAAAATGTAGTAATAAATATATATGCTCTCAATTTCATTCCCCGTTGTCTCTCATTCTCCAATATGAATTTTCAAAAAAATCTGGTAGCCTTGATATTCCTAATTCTGAGAAGCCATTTAGCCCTAGGCTTATGCATAGATTCCGCGGGTGGCAACTACACGAGTAAAAGCACGTACAGGGCCAACCTGGAAACCGTTCTCTCCTACATGCCAGCAAATGTCAACAGCAGCAGTGGTTTCTACAGCGCCTCCGCCGGTCAAACCCCGTATATGGTCAACGCCATCGTGCTCTGCAGGATCGACGCTCCGCTGGACACTTGTCGCCGATGCATCCAGGATCTAACTGCCGCGCTTCTAAAAGAATGCCCGAACCAAAAACAGGCGATTGGCTGGTACGAGTTCTGCATGGTACGTTATTCAGACCAGACGATATTCGGAACCCTAGCAACTTCCCCATTTGTATACTGGTGGATCCTAACCAAAGTTACGAGTCCCGATAAGTACAACGAGGGACTCAGGACGGTTTTAGACAGTCTCCGAAACCAGGCTTCTAATGGCGGTTCTCTGAGGAAGATTGCTGCTGGGAATGTAACTGTGCCAGATTTTCAGATCATATTTGCCCTGGTCCAATGCACCCCTGATTTGTCTGCAGATGACTGCAACAGTTGCTTAATAAGCGCTGCTGGAGATTTATCAACGTGTTGCAACGGGTTTAAAGCGGCTAGCATGAACTATCCTAGCTGCACTATTGTTTATCAAACTAATAACCACTTCTACAACGAAACAAGGCTTCAAGAACTGCAGTTTGTGCCACCGCCGCCCCCACCCCCACCACCACCACCACCACCGCCGCCATCGCCACATGGTATTACCACTTTATCTTCAAATATTAAATTTAAAAAAAAGGGTAAAATAGAGAAGTCGATGTTTACAAGTTCCTTCGTTTTCTGCAGGAACAATCATTCGAACTGTCGTTATAACTACCGTGGTTTTGATTGCTGTAATCGTACTGGTACTAGTTGTCGGCTACTGCGGCTACAGCTAAGAAAAGAAAATGAAACAGAAATAAAGGAAGAGCTTCTGAGTAAGTACTCTTGCTCTTTTCCTTCCTTAATTTTCAAGGGGTCATATATATATTTGTCCGTTATGACTATTGTTTACATATTCAAGTACTATATAAATATTGTTGAATTTAAAGACAAGATTGCGAATACTGTGCAGAATCTCTGGATTATGGTTTTAGCACAATCAAAGCAGCAACAAATGATTTCTCAATCGATAACAAGCTGGGGCAGGGTGGATTTGGAGTTGTCTATAAGGTAATTTGATATTTGATTTGATGTTAATTAACAACTTTGAAGTGTGAACAAAATACTAAATATTGCTGTGATGTGTTTAATTTCAGGGAACGCTCGAGAACGATCAGGAAATCGCGGTCAAAAGATTGTCCATGAATTCAGGGCAGGGCGACCAGGAATTTAAGAATGAGGTCGTATTACTTGCTAAGCTTCAACATCAGAATCTGGTTAGACTCTTGGGTTTCTCTATACAAGAAAACGAAAGGCTTATCATATATGAATTTCTTCACAATGGAAGCCTAAATAACTTTATATTTGGTAAGTTTTTATTTTATATTTATAATGAATTAATATATAGTGTCTACTGATCATTATTGCAAATTATATAATTGGTTGCACATATTAGCTAGTGATGTGAATTGTGATTTCTTTTTATTTGGACTATATATATAATATAATTGTAGACCCAATCAAGCGTTTGAGTTTGGATTGGGATAGACGCTACAAGATCATAGAGGGTATTGCCAGAGGAATACAATACTTGCATGAAGATTCTGGACTCAGGATTATTCATCGTGATCTCAAAACTGATAATATACTATTGGATGGGGAGATGGATTCAAAAATTGCTGATTTTGGTCTGGCAAGATTATTTAAACATGATGGAAGTCAAGTATATACAAGTAACATTGTCGGAACTCCGTAAGTACAAATTATTCTGATTGAATTGAACTGCAAAAAAAACTTTCTAACTATAATAAGCTGAGAAAGTATTCTAATAACCATTGTTGCAGGGGATATATCTCACCTGAATATGCAGCGCATGGGCAATTCTCTTTTAAGTCGGACGTGTTTAGCTTCGGAGTGATAGTCCTGGAAGTCATCAGCGGTCAAAGGTCTAAATCTATAAAAGATGGGGAGAATGTGGACCTCGTGTCTTGTGTAAGTATATATATATATATATATATATATATATATATATTTTTCTATTTATCTTTTTGATCTTCCCCTCCTGTTGACGTGCTAATTTACTAATTGGTTATGATTAATCTACCAAAAGAAGTCTACTTGACACCTTATTGTGACTTGATCAGTTCATGAAACCCTATAAAAAAAAAATCCAAATTCATAAAAGACCTTGTATATGATCATATTTTTTTCGATAACATGGACTGTTCGTCTTCAATCCCGTTCGTAATGCGAAGAAATAACCATGTCGGAACGACATGCTAATCAACACCT